GCTACTCACCGGCAGCAACAGTGTCGATCTCTAGCTGTGGAGATTGAATCGTCACACCAGCCGTGATCGACTCGAAGGTGTGCTCCAGTGTTCCCGCATACCGCGAAACATCAGTGCTGGTTCCGCCCACTGCGTAATTGTCAGCATACTTCCGACATGTTTCGCGAGCTTTAGACTTACTGTCGAATCCTATCACTGGCTTCCTCCGCTGTACATCAAAACATGTCTTGCTGAATCCGACAACACCTCCAGCCGGACCTGACAGGATAGCTTTGAGACCGCTGAAGTGCTGCCACCCCACGAGTCCTCCATCACTTTGCATGAACTCGCAACGAGCACCCTTGGTATCTTCCAGGCCGCCCACGAAGCCTTCACGAAAGCCGTCGATGTAATTGCGCGTCAAAGGCGTAAGGTACGCGTCTGCTGTTGCTGAGTAGCCTCTCGAAATGGCTCTGATCATGGGGAAGATCTGTGATGAGACTGATATCTGCGTGAAGCCGATGTCTCTGGCGATATCGGCAACTTGAAGCTCGTGGTTCGGGAAAGTATAGCTGTTGATAAGCGTTATCGCCAAGGACCGCACGCCCTTGTCGAACAGGGCCTGGAGACCTTCACGGGCGTGTGTGCTGTCTACTGAAGTGTCAGCGAGGAAGTTACTTCCACGTCAAGATACTAACCAATTGGTCGCAAAACGCGAATGGCTTCGCCGCCCACCCCCCTTTCCAGGTTATAGGAGTTGCGGTCAGGGTCTCGTAGTGTTGACTTGTCCTCCGTCGAATCGTGGAGTGTGACGCGCTCGTCAATCTCTAGTACATCGTCGAACAAGGTCTCAGGCCTCCGGATGTTGAGATCAAACAGCTTCGGTCTGGTCTGATCACCTATGCGTAGTAGATCTCTGAAACCTTTGGTGACGACCAACGCGCATTTTGTGGAGTTTCGTTCCAGCAAAGCGTTTGTCGCGACGGTAGTTCCCATCTTGATCGATTCGATGTTGCTGGTATCAATCTTGCCGCCGCGTGGTATGGATACGTTCAAGGCCTGCTCGAGTATCCTGCGGATACCCTCTGTGGGTGCATCGGCATAGTTCGTTGGATCGTTACTCAAAAGTTTGACGAGTACATCTGGTTTCCCTGGTATAATACCTAAGCAGTCTGTGAAGGTACCGCCGCGATCTATGGCGATGCGGATGCCTGCACCTTGCAGGGGCTGCTCAACGAACGGCATACTCAGTAGGCGATTCAGCGAGGAATGAATCGAGGAAAAGGTGAACTGCAGTCTCCGACAACCAAGAGCTCCTATATGTCCTACAGCCACTGGGAATTGAAGTAAATCACCCTCGTGCCAGCGGGTAGATCAAGGTATGAACACGCCAAAGAGGCAGCGCCTGGTCAGTTGTCCCGTTACGCGCCATTGGCAGTAACGACGCCGATACCGCAGGGCATATCGTTCCGAAGGCATGGCAGTACGGGTTTGTAATGCCTATCGCGTCGCGTTGAGGGTGGAGTTGCTGCGCATTCTAGCAGAATGAGGATGACGCGCGATTGCCGATCCCTTCCCAGGAAACACGCTAATACATCACTAGCGCGGCGCGAATGAACCCCTCAGTGAATCCTTCAAAGTTCCGACGTTCCTCTCCATCGGGGCCCAGAGTCCGAAAGAATGGCAGGGGTCGATATCACGCTCTCCACCAAATGCTGAGTGGCTATGCGATCATGAGCATGGGTTTGCAGCGCGCATGCCGAGGTCGCAAAATGATTCGACTGCTGTTCATGGCAGCGTCGCCGTGATCTGCCTGTAAGAACACCATCATTGTTGCATCTGGATCCTACCAATATGACCGAAAGCATCAATCTGCAATTGGGGTGGCCGTCGCCGTCACTCTTCCCATCGGCTCAACTTCTCGACGGCGCGACAAGCGTTCTTAACTCGCAAGCAAAAACCGCTGCCTCACTCATCTACGGCCCAGATGCTGGCTACGAACCACTTCGACGCAGTATCGCAGCATGGCTCACTTCTACGTACGGACGCGGTTCGGAACTTTCATTCGACCGCATCTGTGTCACGAACGGGGCATCGGGGAACTTGGACAACGTTCTGGCACGCTTCACTGAGCCAGGCTACACGCGAAACATTTGGATGGTTGAACCTTGCTACTTTCTGGCATGTCCTATCTTTATGGACAACGGGTTTCAGGGGATGATGAAGGGTGTGCCGGAAGACGATGAAGGGCTGGATGTGGAGTTCTTACGACGAAGTCTCAAGGAGGCAGATCAATCGACAACACGCGATGCATCAATGCGAAAGACGGGTGAAAGATATAAGAAGCTTTATCGGCACATCATCTATTGCGTTCCGACGTTCTCAAACCCAAGCGCGAAGACTATGTCGCTTCGGCGAAGGCAGCAACTCATTCGCCTAGCGCGAGAATTTGACGCCCTTGTGGTCACCGACGATGTGTACGACATATTACGCTGGCCAGCGGATAAGGACGGAAGCTATGAGAACCTTGGTGACGTACCGCCACGAATCGTCGACATCGATCGCACGCTTGAAGGAGGCCCCAAAGATGAATGGGGTAATGCGATGAGCAATGGTTCGTTCTCAAAGATCATAGCACCGGGTGTAAGAGTAGGCTGGGCAGAAGCGACCCCTGCGTTCACGCTTGCACTGTCGCAAGTGGGCGCGACCAGATCTGGAGGCTGTCCCTCACACATGTCTGCTTCATTCGTTCATGAGGTGCTTGAGTCTGGGTTGTTGCGCAAGCATCTTGAAACCAAAGTTCTTCCGACGTTTCGGGCTCGCTATTATGCTATGCTGGAAGGGATAGACAAGTTTCTGGTTCCACTGGGTGTCACTATCTCTACTGGGAAGCCGTACAATGAGGTTTCTGGACAAGTGAACGGCACCGACACTGGTCTTGAGGAGTCTTCTGCGCAGGCTGGAGGCTACTTCATCTGGCTGCTGCTACCAGAAGGTCTGGCTGGAAAGGGTGCTGATTTGGCTGCCAGAGGCTTGGAACGATACAATGTAAAGTTTGCATACGGCGACATGATGCAAGTGCACGGGGACCCTGCATCCACTGTTCGTGCGGCAAAGGGCTATGGAAATGGCATACGTTTTTCATGGGCATGGCATACGGAAGCAGAGATTCTTGAGGGTATTCAGAGATTAGGTGTATTGATCAAGGAAGCTAGTAAATAGGACTAAATCTACAATATGTAGTTGATACATATCGGATCGGTTGTAAAAATGCAGGCTCATTCTCTTGATGGTGGCGTGAGTAGACCCCCAACGACAGCATGAGACTGACCGTGCTTTTTAGCACTATCTTCTAAGAAGAACTTCAGGACAACTCCAGCTGCTGTCACAGAATCGTCATCCGCATCGACAGCATCGAGCGTCTCTTCCAAGACCTTGGGCTGCCAATTCGGAAAGAAATACTTAATTGTCTCACTGTTGATGAAACGATCGAACTCGAAGTGACCCTGGAATGTGAGGACACGATCAGGTTCGTACATGCCCTGATTAGCGCAATGCTGAGTACTTCCCAGCGTTGTCCAGGAGCCCGGTAGCGCTTCTACATCCGGAACAACCACGTGGTCGTGATGCACGAACTGTAGCTTCATCTTTTCCTCATCTTTATTTTCCTTAATTCCTCCATCTCCAAAGAATTCGTTGTAGAATTGCCGTTGCAGTGTGATCTCTTTTACCCCTAGTTCCCAGCCTTCCGGATGCTTCTCCACCTTCACACCATGATCTCCTAGTAGAGTTTGACACACCAATTGGTGGCCGAAGCAGCTACCGAAAATCTTCACCCTGGGCTCCCTCTCATATATTTCTCTCGTCCATCTTGCGAGTTTGTGTATCCAGGGCAGCTCATCGTAGGCCGAGTTCGCGGAGCCCGAGATGATAACAGCGTCGAACTCTGCTATCGAGCTGGGATATTCGTTCTTCGTCACATCGAAGTCCGTAGATGTGATTTTGATGACAGGGTCCAAGGACGCGCGTGGTGACTTGGTGTTGGCAGCTGCGGAAGAAAGAAGTTGGTGGAAGATACGCCCATAAGTGGGGGCGCGCTCGGCGGCAACAACAGGCACCGGTGCATCGGCATTAAGCATGCAAATGCGTAGATTTCGTGCCATGATTGCACGAATTGAGCGAGAGGGTTTTTGATCTGATGTGTTCTTCCTGAATAACCTTTTCTCAAGCAATGTATCTGTCTTCTATGGATGTCGCTTTCGGGATGCCCGCATTCGGCGATGCACGTGATGGCCGCCGATAAGCGGTTGACGTTTGTCGCGACTATCTCGCGATTTGCCACGTCTCCAACCACGCAAGGCCACTGACCTCGCCCACTTCGATATTCAATCAACCACCGCGACGACGTCCTCACAATGGTTGTAAGCATCTTTTATGCGATGCGCGATGATCACAACACTCTGCGTACGAAATGTGACGGACAATTGGCGCCGCTGCAGGACGCCATATCCGTACGCGCAGCAACCCTCGAGCAAGCCCTATCGCCCGTTTTCCCGTAGCGCATATCTTCTATACACACGGATCCTAGCAGTCGGGTATCAGGAGCCATACTAGCACTACCATGGCATGGTGTGAGGGCCTGACAACCCACTATTGGTCTTGACCCACCGTGCCACCATCGGACATGAGAGTCCGAAGAACCATCTCTTTATTCCTCGACGCTAGGTAGCGAACATGGGCATGCAAACCGGTTGATCGTTGCCGTCGCCAAAATGCGGAGAACGACAACGCTCGCGAGTCAAGGGCACAATCTTGGTCCTATCGAGCTGGACTCTGACGTTCCATATCCCGTCCAGCCGCTGTCTAGCTGGAGATAGCGACAGTCAGCGAGATATGAAGATAGGCATTACTGATATGAGTCTTTGTCTTTGTCTTCTATAAAATACACATCTAATTAGGTGTTCGAGACACCACTGGGAGGTTCTTGTTGCATCTCCATCCTTACCCCACTTATTGCGACCATGCCCGACGATAGCAAAGTCATGTCGTCCGCCGACGTCGAGGATACACATTCTGTCAAGATGGGAGAAGTTGCCTCGGCCAACGTTGATGTGGCGGCTGCCTATGCTCATCATCTCACGGGGGAGAATGCGTATACAAGAAAAGAAGCGACACGCTTGCGATGGAAGCTAGACCTGCGTCTTGTGCCATTGCTCTGGTGTGAGTGCTTGTAAAGCGAGATAGCGAGAAGCGCAAGCTAATAGTCATATCAGTCAACATCACGCTGGGCGCTATGGACAAAGTGACGACAGCTACAGCGGCCTTGTACGGCTTCCGAGCTGATACTGGCTTGACTGGAGACAGATACAGCTGGGTTGGCAGTGCATTCTACGTAAGTAATCCTACCCGACTTCGCTTCTAGGGTGCTGACAATGCGTGTAGTTTGGTTATCTGTTCTGGTGCCTACCGAGTGGCAGCCTCCTCCAACGCTTCCCGATTGCCAAACTAATGTTTGTCGTCCAACTCCTCTGGGGCTGCATTCTCATCGCGACGGGGTTTGCCAACAACTTTCCTACACTTATCGCACTCCGTGTCCTTCTAGGAGCCCTTGAAGCTCCTATCGTACCCGGTAATTTCCTCATCATCAGCATGTGGTACCCTCGACGTGAGCAACCTCTTCGAACCGGCTTGATGTATACGGGTCTTTCTGTGTGCTTCACTGGCCCAATTGGATATGGTATTGGATTCCTAGCAGGCGAACATCAATGGCGCGCCATGTTTTGGATCACAGGCGCAATGACCATTGTTTGGGCTTGTGTGATCGGTATCTTCCTACCCGACAATCCTGTCAAGGCGAAGTTCGTCAGCGAGCGACAAAAGGCCATCGTAATTGACAAGATCCGGCAAGATCAGACGGGAGTGGAGAACAAAACGTTTAAGAAAGACCAGATGATTGAAGCCTTCCTTGATCCTAAGACGTGGCTAATGTTCTTCTTTCATATCTGGATCAGTAGTGAGTAACCCCGATGTGCCACTCTTCCAAGTTTATGCTGACGTTCTCTAGTTCCGAACGGAGGTTTGACGAACTTCACGCCTCTCATCATAAAAGGTCTCGGCTACTCGTCTCAGCGCTCGACACTTCTCACAATGCCTACCGGTATCTTGCAGACCATAGCGTCATACGTTTGCAATGGCGGTGTATTCCTGACTGCGAAGTACCTTCCGGCAAAACAGTTACGTACCGCTTGGGTCATGTTCGGTATCATCGTCGGCATGATCTCAGCAGTCTTCTTATACGTTCTGCCGCTCGACAACTACAATGGGCGTCTCGCAGCGTTGTACTGCTCATACTTCTACCTTGGCCCCTACATTGTCGCCCTCGGTATCAACACGGCAAACACCGCAGGCCACACGAAGAAAGTTACCGTCAATGCGCTGGTATTCATCGCATACTGTATCAGCAACATCATCGCGCCCCAGTTCTTCAAGGCTGATCAGGCACCGCTGTATCCACTTGGTATGGGTGCTGTGCTTGGAAGCTACGTTCTGTCAATGATCACCATCGCTATGTATGCAACATACTGCTGGTATGAGAATCGCAGGCGAGACCGCATCGACTCTGATAAGGGTGGAAGGGTACATGCAGATACTGACTTCCGCGACTTGACCGACAAGCAAAATGTGCACTTCCGATACGTGTGGTAGAGGTCACAGAAGCTAGCCACAGTTCGATACGAAGTTTGTAGTTACCACAGGTTCTATCTAAATGAAAAGATTCGTTACGAACATACTGCCATATCTGTGACTTATTTCCTCCTTCCGGCACGTGCCCTCCAGCAGGTGCTACACATGACCAGGTCTTGAATGATACATTTGAGTAAAGATCCTGCACATGCGACGCCAAACACATGGCAATCGGAAGTCGCAAAGCTGTCAGGCGTGCGCCTCCGCACGCAAAAATGGACCCTTTCCCATCTTCGCTTATCTTCCGATAACGGACTCTTTCGGACTTCCATGTGCGAGAGTGCGAGATGCACGATGGCTCCACGCCGCTTTGCAGTGGAGAAAGCAGATACCCTGCATGTGCCGAGGAACAAGGGTCGCTACGCGTCTCGCGCGTCGAGCTGGGCTACTCAAATGAAGCAGTTCTTCTAGATATATGGTCAGAGGCGCCTAGTTGACCGAGACACATCATACGACAGATTGACAAGCTATACAACAGTGTACATCACAATCTCTCACATTCCACACGATGCCTAAACTCGACATATCCGTTCAAGATGAGCAGAAGGCTTTCGAAGTTGATGTAGCTGCTATTGAAAAGCAATGGAGCTCTGCAAGGCAGTCGCATTTGAAGCGGTATGTGGCCCCGTCAGATCTCAAGCAGTAGATCGACTCCGTGACAGATTCAGCTGACATTGTTACCAGACCATACACGGCGAGCACTATAGCCGCGCTTCGTACTTCCATCCCCGCTCCCTCGGAAGCCTCCTCGATCCAGGCCATCAAGCTCTGGAAGCAACTCAATGCACACAACAAAGCCGGCACATGCGAGTTGACATTCGGCACCACCGACCCGGTTGCAGTCTCGCAGATGGCCAAACATCAGCAGACTGTCTACGTATCCGGTGCTTTATGCGGATTCTCGGAAGTCGCACTCCCTGGAATGGACCACGCCGACTACCCATGGGATACCGTGCCGAAGGTCGTTTCCAAGATCTTCAAGAGCCAGCTTTGGCACGACCAGCGCCAACGACAGTACCGGTTACGACATCCAATCGAGCAGCGTGAAAAGCTGGAGAACTGGGACTACATGGCGCCAATCGTCGCGGATGGCGACATGGGCTTCGGTAGCCTGACTAGTACAATGAAGATGGCGCGCGAGTTTGTGGACGCTGGCGTAGCGATGATCCACATCGACGATCTTGCTATCGGGATGAAGAAGTTTACCGTCGGTCAGGGGCGTACAATTGTACCGACTCAAGAATACCTGGATCGTTTGACAGCTGTGCGGATGCAATTCGATGTTATGGGTGCGGAGACGCTACTGTTGTGCCGCTGCGACACGGACCATGCCGAATTCATCACCAGTGTTGTCGACGAGCGCGATCACGAATATGTGCAGGGAGCGACGAAGAAGATAGAGCCGTTGCAGAAGTGTCTCGCGGCTGCGCAGATGGGAGGGAAAGACTTGAAGGCCGCGCGGGACGAGTGGAAGGCCAAAGCAGGGATCAAGACTTTCGATGAGGCTGTTGAGGCCGTTGCGTCGAAAGAAGAGTTTGCCGCTTATAAGGCGGAGCTTTCGAATCGCAAAGTCGCTTCCCTGTCAGACCGTCGCGATATCGCGAGCAAGACCGTCCAACAAGAGGTTTTCTTCGACTGGGAGCTATCGCGATCGGCGATGGGACAGTACATGATCAAGAGCTGTGTCAAGGGTATCGTCGAGCGTGCCATCGCCGCTGCGCCACTCGGAGACGTGACCTGGGCGCGTATGGACTCTCCGAACTGGCAAGACATTGTCGAGTTCCACACCGAAGTTCGCAAGGTGTATCCAGATCGGCTCTTTGCCTTTGGCTACACCGGTGACTACGACTTTGCGAAAGCCGGGTTCAGTGATGACCAGGTTAAGAACCTTCATCTCGATCTTGCCAAGCTAGGCATCGTATGGCAGGTCCAGCCGATCTGGAGTCTGCAAGGTCTGAACATGGTGACGGAGCAATTTGCGAAGATGTGGCAGGACCAAGGTATCGCTGGCTACTTGAAGTCGGTCCAAGGCCCAGCTCTTAGCTCACAACCTATGACTGATGGGTTTGAGAAGTTGAGTTACTGCGGTGGATATTTGGCGGATGCTTTCTTCGAGACGGTCGCAGGGGAGTCTATCGTAGACAAGGGCAAAGTAGCGTAGTTGAAAAGACGTCGGTAGCCCATATTATGAGTACACTAGCTCCAATAGTACCTCACTTTTCAACGGCGTGTCATGTCCAGCCTTCGAAGTCAAACACCCCAGGAAACGAGAGTAGGCCATCAACAGCCAAATCCTCAAGCCCAGAATCTGCAATCCCGTACTCGAAGGGCTGCTGCATGGCAAATGGCATCTGGAAGTTTCCGTTGATCTGCTGTAGCTGATTGTTGAAGTTTTCAGGTTCCTGGTCATTCGGAGCGAGCATGCCACGTATCGTTGGTAGCTGAGAAGGTTGCGCAGAGCGAGGGAAGTCTTCATTTATCATCTCATCGATCATGCGCAACACCGGACGATGCACTACTAGTGCGCGAACCTGCGGAAGGTGCTCTCGGACTGCCGTAACCGTCTTCTCTGACAGCCGAGTCGGTGGTTTGTTGGGTCGGTCGACCAGCGGGATTTCGCGCGCCAGTAGCTCAAAGACGTCTCGCAGGCATTCTGCCTTCGCCCACCTGTCTGCCATTATCGCTAGGATGTTCGAGCAGGCGCGGAGTGCGTCAGAGACATCGAAGGAGTAGTAATTGTCGGTTCTATGTTCCGGTGGGGTAGCCCAGAAGCAGTACAAGAGTGTGATACCAGATTGGAATTGGACGAGGAGCTGCTAGGATTAGCGCATGTATCATCGAGTGCGTGGAATTGCTTACTGCAAGCCATGGCTGAGCGATTTGACGATCAATCTGAGTCTTACGAAACATTAAGCAAGCCTGGCTGCTGGCTTGAACCGACCAATCTCCGGCAGATCCGATCACGTTGGCTTTTGTCGGTCGGTAAAGCATGAGCAACGTATAGTGATAGATCATCGCTTGCCACCGTTGTGATGTATAACCTTTTGAGTGTGGATCTGAAAAGTTTTGTACCCTAGATTTGAAGTTCTCCAATTCCGCAAGTATTCTTATCCTCCAATCTGAACTATTCTCAAATTGAGCTTGGTAATCCCATCGAAGCGTAACGGCGCTTATTTCGGATTGTATGCGCCTGCACTGCAGTATATGAAGCGCTGAGGAGTTACACGTGTAGTTCTGCGAGTCGCTCAAGTCATGATTAGGCGGCGTGATGGCAGCGGCGCCTAACAGGTCATGGTCCTCGATGTTAGCGAAAGGCCTTACGGTAATCATATAGTCCGGCACAGATGGTGGAAGATCGAAGGATGACATGACCAGCCGATCAAGAAGGTATGCGCACCAAAAGCATCGCCGTCGAACTTGAATTACCAGCCGTGCATGAACGTCGGTTGATGGTGGTTCCGTCTCGCCGAGGTGTAACTGTTGCAGGACACATTGTCGTATTGCTGTGGACGCGAGAGAAATGATGCGCTCAGTAGAGCTCTGGTGTAGTGCATGCACGGACAGCAGTAGATATGCCTGCACCTGGAGAATTCTATCAGGTTGACGTAGCACAGCCGGCAGGAGTGCGATGCCACTATCGTAGAATTCTCGAGCATTGAGCATTGTCGCGTAAGGCTGACGCAACAGTACTAAAGCTGTCGCGTATACAAGATTGATGAAGAACCCTTGCCATGCTCGTTCTTCAAGGTCGCGGGACAAACAGTGCTTCCACTCCGACTGCCATGTGAGGAAGGTGTCCCAGTGGAAAAAGGGATACTGGGCTTGAGCGCGCTCGCGATATGCGTTGAGCAATGACTCTTCGAGTTCCGGAGAGATGCTGGCCAACAGTGTGTGGGCGCTATTCACTTCGGCCTGTGCCGGTCGTGTGGCTGTTGAGGTACGAGAAGCATCGTGAGCTGGAAACTGCGCTGAAGGTGATGCAATAAGCCCAAAGATGAGATGATTCAAGTCGGGTTCATCATCCGTGCCCGAAGCTATTGCATAACCCGAAGATGAGCCGGAAAGGATAGATGACCGCCGCGGCGGCAAGGACTGTTGAATCGAATGAGCCACTGCTCCCCCTGTGACCCCATCACCCGGTAACCCACTGCTTGCTGGGGACGTGTCATCTATGTCGTGATCAGGCCTGTTCTGGGTTCTTGCTAGATGATCAAGGCTCTGCTGCGGGTCTCGGGCCTCAAGCTCAGCAACACGGTCTTCCAGAATGCGCACATATTCGCTCTCAACATGCGGCCGAGGCGCTGGCTGCGTAGGAAGGCATTCCTCGTCTCCTTTGACACAATTCTGGCACGGGCGGCTGTCTTCGCACTTCTGTTTCCGATAGCGACATCGCTGGCAAGCTAGGGTTCGTTGCTTTTTAGCAGGCGGCTCCTGCGGAGAACTTTCTGAATCATTATCCATCGGGTGTATTTCTCAGGCTTCGGTCCATTCTTGGATTCCGCTAGCAATGGCGGTGATATTTGTTGCGACGGCATACCTTCACGCGGTCCAGGGCGAAGGCGTAGATGACGGTGCCGATTGCCGGGGGCATGCGATAAGGGGGGTCGCGCCTTACCGAAACAGGAGAAGCGTCCACGTGACCAGGCCTCTCCATCTCCAAGTCTGTGCCCCGCCCACATTTCTCCTGGATTAGAGCCGCTCCCGTGTCAGCTCAGCACTCAATCATGACCACCGTTGACCTGTTTCAAACCGAAGTTTACCCGTCTTCTCCTTCTACGAGGCCCACTCGCCCTCTCATTCTTGGAAGCCCTGAATCGACGCGACAAAGCTTCATTCTGATACGGCCGTAGACCATACGGATTGGGAGCGCGTTCGTACTCAGTCCCACAACACCCGCACGGTCCCTGCCAAAGAAAAGTGTCGATTTCGCAACACTTTCCTGAAGATGCTGCATCGAAAAGGATGTGTATGCCAAACATCTTACTTTCGGGTGCTTGCAGCTCCTGATACCATTGGGAGTGTAAGTCTTGCTTCTCTATCACAACGTCATCCATTCTATCTGGAGGCCGCGCAACTTCGGTGAAGGCTCAGCCTCTTTCTGGTCCGCTAAACAGGTTCTAAAGGCCCGAGTCGGAATCGGAAGTAGCAGCAATGATCGTAATCAATCTGTCGCGATAGTATCTGTAGCGCGTGGGTCTGTGATTAGTAGTCGCCGATATAAGATGTGCAACACCTCGTTGGCTCATAAAACAACTGCGCCTCTATCACAGCCAGCCGACCGAAATCAGCCACGATGCGCTTCGAGTACTCTAGCTTGGCACTTTTTGCCGGGATTTCTTGGGCAGCTTCTTTGCCAAACACTACAAGCTTCGAGCGGGAGACGCGCAGCCTCGATGAAATCTACCAGGCAGCTTTGGCAGAAGGTGGTGTTGTCACTCTTTGGCATGGCGGCGATGAGAAGACTCAGCAGAACAGTCTGAAAAGTGCTTTTGAGGCACGGTTCCCTAACATGACACTCAATGTCACCGTCGACCTGTCGAAGTACCATGATGTCAACCTTGACGCACAACTGGCTGCGGACAATGTTTACGTCGACAGCATCATCCTGCAGACGCTTCACGACTACCCACGATGGAAGAAGCAGGGCGCTTTGATGAACTACGCTCCATTGAACTTCGACAAGATCTATTCTGTGTTCAAGGACGCCGAAGCGGCTTACAGTGGACTGCTTATCTTTGACTGGGGGTATGACCCTCTTCCTGGAACCTATGTGGATACGTACTAAACAACAATAGCATTTCTGCCAACATGAACAAGACAAGCACGATGCCGACTTCGTACCAAGACTTCACGAAGCCTGAGTACAAGGACAAGATCGTTCTGACCTACCCCAACGACGATGATGCCGTCTTGTACCAGTTCGAACTGATGTATGTTCTGGCCTCCGACCATCATAAACGGGTTGGCTAACCATTTGCGTAGTATCGAAGAGCTCGGTGAGGAATGGTTCGACGCCCTACTCGCCAACAACCCCCGCTGGGTACGTGGTACGGCGACTCCCGGCACGCTCATCAAGGCTGCCAACAGCAGCAGCGCGGTGACCTTTAGCTCCGGTTTCTCATTCGCAGACCGACCACCAGTCAAGTACGCGCTCCCCAGCGACGCGAAATTCGTCTCTTGGGCTCAGACCGGCGCCATCTTGAAGAAAGCCCCCCACCCTGAAGGCGCAAAACTGCTCCATAGCTTCATGCTCAACGACGAGAACCAATCTAGCCGTGGCTGGAGCGTCCGTGAGGACATCGCAGCACCAGAAGGTGCCGAGACGATCCTGCAGCAGCCCGGTACAGACGCGCCTGCGTTTGCTGAGTTCATGGCAGACCGTGGTCATGTTGAGAGGCGGAGGGACTTTTATGAAGTTAGGATTGGTACCGCACAGGGCCTTAGTCCGCTCATTGACGACTTGTGAGCATGTTTTGGGCTTGCTAGTAGCGCACGTGGGGGTCAATAGTCTACGGAAAAGAATCTGTAGATGTTCTTTCGAAGATTTGTACAGTTTGTTCGAGAATATCTCAGCCGGCCTGGCTGATTTGGCCGTCTCTGCATACGCTTGTTCTTCAAGTCTTCTTTCCGTTCCTCTGCTTACTCCTCAATCTTCCGTGTTCCCATTTGCTCCGTCATTGGCGGTAACCTGCCGCCTTCACACCGCGAGAGTCTCTTCTAACCTGATTTGTACAAGCGCACAAGCAGCAAACTCATCTGCTTGCATCAGGCTCACTGCTTTGATATGCACTCACAAAGACTCTCGTCATGTCTGAATCAAAGCGACCGGCGGCTCAGTAAGTCGTCGCACGAGCTAAAGATGCTCAGCTCCTCGAGCCGTAGTAAGGTACTGACACAACTCTAGGCTCTTCAACAACCCCGCGCTTTCCGACGTCAAGATCAAGCAAATACACAAGGGCCAGACGCGCGAATACTATGCGCATAAGGCAGTGCTATGTCTAGAGTCGAAGTACTTTCTCAACGCCTTCACCGGTCACTTCAAGGTAGGCCAGCGAAAGTCAGAATGTGCACTAGGTGGAAGTTCTAACGATCTTCAGGAAGCAACAGAAAGCGTTATGGAACTGCACGAAGACAATCCCGAGCACTTTGAGTTCTTTCTCAAGTTCATCTACACCAGCGAGTACGACAAACACGAGATCGCGAAGCTCGCAGGCGACGACAAGATCAAACGGGTTCTTGTTCCAATCGGCGTGCGCGCCATCGCTGACAAATATGACGTCGCGAAGCTCTACGAGCCAGCTGCGGAAGACGTGAAGGCTGTACTCGTGGAAGCTGCCAAAGACAAAGAGATGCTTATCACTGCAATCCACGCTCACTACGGTACCGAGGTCAATGTTGATGGGGCTATGGGACGTCTCATAACTTCCGTGGTCTTCGAAAAGCACCAAGACCTTGTCCGGACGAAAGATTTCGAACAGTTGCTGCTTGCGCATCCCACCTTCGCCGCAGACGTTGCGCTAAACTTACAGCGTAACGCACTATCTGGATTAACAGCTGGTTGGTGTATCGGCTGCCAGGCCAATCAGAACATTGACGCAGCCGGTATGCGCAAGGCGGGTTGCACATACTTCTATTGCCCGAATTGCAGCAGGCAATGCCCTCTTCCAGCTGTCGGTTAAAACTAGAGACAGGAAATATGGTTAGCCAGAACGGATGCGGTACTGGACTTGAGAAACAGAAGAATCACAGCATGGAAGCGATAATAGTTCACAAGGGTGTCTCCTTATGCAAAAACAGTGACGCATGTAGCGATTCCAGGTACATGTGACGGCGCTCGGTGTAGTAAATATGAGCATTTGAATCGAAACATGACTCTTCCGCACCTGCGCAATGCGTGTCAATCCTCGCACAATATCTGTAGCTGCAAGATTGCCAAACATCGGCACTTCACCCGTTCAACCTGTCTTTGGGTCTCGATGAGATGAGAACTTCTTTGTGATGGACGCCCAAGACTAAGTGCTGCTACGGCGAGCACCGCGCAATATCGGTAAAGCGCGCACTATCAGTAAAGTAAATACATTGACAAACGCGACCCTTTTACGACATACAAGAAGAAGTAAAGCAGCATGCGACGGACGGTGAAACAACTATTTACACATCCCTGCTAATGATTGATCTCATAATGCTTGAGTAGGATCGCGTCACCCTCCAGACTGTCCTGTACCACGTATTCGATACCCTTCTGCAGACAGGCATCCCAAAGGTCCGGAATATACACGATATCCCGCTGGGCTGCATGTAGGATACATACCGCTCGAAGGTTGGGCAGTCTTTCAATCCCCCTTGCCAACTGTCGATTGGCCTCGTCTGCGACATGTAGGTGCCAACTGCCTTCAAGAGGTTGGCGAAGTTGCTCATTGCCGAGACCCAACAGAGTAATCGAGGTGGGTAAGCTTTCGACTATTCGAAGTTGAAATGCCAGATCCGCATCCCAGTGAGCTTCTTCCGAGGTATAAGTTATTATCATAGGCGTATCTGTGAGGATCATAGCGGGGACTAATAGAGTTTGCAGCTTAGTGAACTGGTTGAGGGTACCAACTGCGAGAGTAGTACAGTCTTGGTCGCCGAAACGGCCCTCCGCTTGTTTTGCAGAGAGTGAAAGATATCGCATAGTATCCTTGCTTTGAAGAAGAGCCATGCACATAAGCTCGAAATCCAGAAACCGGGGCATGTCATCGCGTTCATCATAAGGTCTTAAATGGCCCGGTCTGAAGCGGAATTCCACCAGTCGGTGACAAGGTCGTATAGTCATGATGATCTGCTCCATCGATATATTGCAGTCAACAAGATGAAGAGTGCTGAGATTCCGGAGCCCGTCTCCTTCGAAAGCAAGTCGTAAAGCCTGAGGGCCGAGAAGGCTGCGATGTATATCATTCGGATAGCGGTGGCGGTAATGTTTCAACGCTGGAAGATAGCGAAACGTCGCGATGCACTCGTCGTATGGCTCCGGCTGCGGGAACCGACAGTTCAATCCATCAAGTTCATCAGGCTCATTAGCGACCTTGAGAATTAAACCACTGAAGATGTTAATGGTAGCGAGTTTTGCGTATTGACCAGGTCTGCTTGATCCGAGTTCAAGACCAAGAATCCGACTTAGAGGTCCGTTGTAGGTTTTGAGCGTTAGCTCTGATACGTTTGGACTCAACCAAAGTAAGAGTGTCAACTGCGCTTTCGCTGGGGTCCATTTGAATTCGTCGTGCCACAAACGTGCCACCTGATCGTTGTATAGGTCCTCCACCATGGTTGGAAGGCCTTCACGGATCGCTTCTCCCATTGCTAAGACCAAATCTTCCTCTTGCCCCTTAAGGCCAACCTCCTTGGATCTCCGAGCTAGTGTTTGATTACAACGTATGACTTGTATGTGTTCGGCCAGGTGTGGAAGTGAGCTGATAGTCCGAATAAGTCTGGTCAATTGGCGAACGCAATCCCCTTCGCCCATTGGTATCTCCCCCTCTAGTGCGACCTTCCTTTCTTGCCTCCAGCCAACGATATGTATATCGGCATAGAGTAGAGGTGTCGCACTCTTTCGGAGTCGTTTCGTCGTTCGACAAAGACTGTGCAAAGTGCTTCTCTTCGTACGATCGTCGTCGTTATCAATTAGCCAGTACGCGTCATCACGACCCGGCCAATTCAAAGGCCGAATGTCTGGTCGAAGATATCCAAAGATCCTATCGAGTGTTTCGGTGGGTAATGTTGCAAGATTGAGGGTGGTTTGGTTTGGGGCATCCCCAGACATGACTACATCATCGTCCATGGGCGCGGCGTGGCAGCGAAGAGGTCAGAGGTGTAGGACGGCGATAGGTGAAGAGCACACAAGCGCGGATGACTTCGGGCAGCCTGGAAGATTGAAAAGGATGGAAGACGTGATGATGTTCGTGTTTTACAGCGGTGGTGGGGTGGGAGATGCTGACACGTCGCGAGGAAGGGACGCGTGTTTGACGTGACCCGCTAAGGAAGGTTATCATCGGCGGTTCTCCGGAAAACCAGGGTCTTGAACCTGTCGCAGCGCAAATGCAGTTCTTGGAGACTGCATTGTATGTCGGGTCAGTGTTTCATGTACGTTTGCCGCGCTTGGTATGTGTTAATCAAACATTTGATCTAGAAGAGGTGAGGGTTGGTGTGCGATGCTTGGCGCTGTCCGAATCAGGCAACTTGTGGACAGCCGTTGATTGCGGGCGTCTACAATGTTACCACCGTCATCTGAACTTTCCTCCTGCTGTACCTCGGCAACTACAATCAGTTCAGCCAAATTCATACGACCTGCGCAAAACACCTTTTCCAAGCAACATCAAAAACAGTACATCAGCTCTAATACGGCTCATGGATCGTAGTCATGAACATTTGCTTCATAATTGGAGTCTCACACGCGTACATCGCAACATCGGTGTTCTGACGAGAACTTTCACATCAACCAAGTACCGCGCTCAAATATGGCGCGACATGACGACCGGCCCCGGATGACCTGGGACCTGAGTATCCGTGTCCAAATTCTATCGCTGCCATTTTCGCAGCGGTGAAGATGACATCGTACGATGTGGTATGTCTATGACTTCAAAAAGCGCTGGTTGGTTTCGGTAGATCTCGCAGAGGTAAGCATGCAGCCAAGTCGCAACGGTCACATCTCTGATGAGCGAGCAACACTATCAAAACATCATCAAATTGACCTTAGATCATCTCCGCTGAACACCTCGCCATTGCGCTGAAGTGCAAGTGCAGCAATTCGGGTGATACTGAACTCGGTGCAGAGTAGTCGCGTGATGCATCGCCTTGCCATTTGGGTCCTACGATGGTATCAAAAGATGTATATAAAGGCAAGAAGAATGCGTGAAGGTCATCCAAGCACAAGACAAACTCCCACTACCTCCTTCAGATATCACTCCCAGCTCGACAACAGACCGAAAAAGTAAGACTCTTCCCATGCTGTCGCAAATTCCCAAAGCCTAACCAATTCATCATCCAGTCAAACCACAACCATGAAGCTCATCACCGCCCTCGCAATCCTCGTTGGCGCCACCTCCGCCATCGCCATCGAGCCTCTCTCAGAAGTCCACGCGCAAAGCTGCGCCAGCCGCGATTGGGGCTGCGAAAACAACTATTGCTGGAAGAAGTGTGGCAACCTAGGAGAATGGTGCTGGCAAGCTGCAGATGCGGGCCAGGGCAGTTGGGTGACTTGCGAAAACGATGCAGCCTGCAATATAAACTTTATCCCCAGTGCTGGGTGTGGCGGCGCGTGCAGCTGCTGAGCACAAGAAAGGAATGTGAACGAAGGCGGCTTCTCAACTCCGCTGTATGACCCCACCACTCATTTGGGCTCTTGGCTTCCAGGAAAGGTATCTAGATAGTGTTCGAGAACATCAACCACTTCTGCTTGGGGGCTTTTCGCGCTACCGTTCCGCATCTTGTGTGCATTCTCCTGCTTCTTTCTTGTAGCTACCGCTTTTCGATGTGCACGGCTCTTGACGTGTAAACTCCAGTCGTTCTCGGTGATAGACGTCGTGCCGCATGTCTCACAGACTTTCTTCTGCCAGAGGTCTGGTCGCTGGCCTAAATCGTACTCGCGCTTCGGTGTCAGCATTTCTGCTGCTGCCGGCGATAACGTCGACGGAGATGGTAGTGGTTGGCCGGAGAGGAATTGCTCGGTAATGGCTATGGCGGGTTTGGCGACGTTGTCTTCCCATTGAGATACGTCGGAACCGTCGACTAGGAAGGTGGTATGCTTTTGACCTGCACTGATCAGTGCGTTGAGAAGCTTGATGCGTATCCATTTGATCTGGCGATTGGCGTATTGACGGGTGGCTGCTTGTGTCTTCTCAATGGCGAGGGTCTTGAACTTCTCCAGCTCGGATGCTTCGCGTGAGCTGTCTGAAAGAGCGCTTTGGTACTCTAGAAACTCCTTATATCCTATCGATACCCAGATGCCGCGAGTCTGGTCGATATTGGCACCTGTGTCGGCTTCGTGCCGCTCACGGAAACTGCTGAGTTCTTCGACTTCAGAAAGTAGACCTCTGGCGATCATCTTATCAACACGGCCGTCAAGACGGCGATGCAGCACGTCCTTGTTTGCGTGCACCCAGAACACAAGAGTTTCGAAACGAAGGCCTGAGCGGCTATCCGATGTTGTGCCATCCGCTTGGGCAGCAGAGGTCTCGCGCTGCGATTTCTGTTCTTTGTAAAGTTGCGAAGCTGGTTTGCCCGTTCTTAGATATATCTCCAGTGAACGCTGAATTTTGCGCCGCTCGTTTGGATGCCACCGATCGGCCATGATAGGATCGACTTCTCTCAGCTTGGCATGCAGGACTTCAGTCGGCTCTTCTAGTACAGGCAGAGGCTGGGTGTTCTCGTTCAGGTTCAACTCGGGCTCATCCGATAGCGCATCCTGGAACAAGAGTGACTGCGTATAGTAGTGAGTGCCACCAACTAAGACCGGGAGTTTGCCTCTACTTCGAATTTCATTGATCTGGTCATGTCAGTAATCACCTGGATTGAACTTCGTTCAGTCGTACCGTTCTCAAAGCCTCGCCTACGAATTTCCCCACAGTCCAAGTCTCTTCTTCAAGGCTGATGCAGCCTAATAGATGATGAGGAACGCCTTTCGTCTCGTGTTGCGTAATCTTGTTCGTAATAATAGGCAATCCACGATACAGTTGCATCGCATCGCCGTTAATGATCTCGCCATTATATCTTCGCGCGATCTCGACTGCCAGCTACCTGTTGTGGTCAGCAGGATGAAGCGTGACTGAACAACTTGAGCTTTACATCAGATTTGCCAGTCCCTGTTGCACCGACGATGGTGATTAGAGGCTTGCGCGGCATTTGCGCCATCTTGATACTACTGATTGCTCTTGCGAACCGTAACATGCATTTGATGGGACGACCGGAACGGCTGCCAATGACTGAGTTGAATGTCCGAAAATGTTGGTTAGCGTCAAGCGGGGTGCGCCTTCCCTCTTTGGCGATAGCGCAGTGCTCGGACAATCGATCAACTTGAAATATCTCACTTCCCAAGATCTGAAGTCTACAGATAGTCTTGTCTTGTGATGTAAGCGAAGTCGTTGATATTGAACATTGTGTTATTGACTCGTGCCGGACATGTGGATTGGATCGTGTACGAGCGAGTATCGCGTATACCTATAGGCGAACTGTACGTGTAATGAAAAGTGTTTGTTGAATATGATGGGGTATCATCGTTGAGTGCCGCCCAAACGCCTGTTGAAACTCCATCGACACGCATTGTTGAAGCGTGCCGAGATGTGTTCTCTCACACTCCTTCGCCTTACTCCTTCCCCACCCTCTTCTCAGCGCCATAACCACCCTTACCCTCCAGATTCTGATACGACGCGCCCTCACCCTTTCCATTCCTAGGTCCCCTCTCCGTCAAATCTTCCTGCAGCCACTTCAACACCAGCTCACCCAGCTGACTGTTTCCCGTGTACATGCGCTCGCCCTGCTCGACCTTGACATCCATGTCCTCGGTGCTGCCCCACTTCTTCACCTTGCCCAGGCTCATGTGCACGAGATGTGTGGGCCAGGTCGCGAGGTTATCCAGGATATGTGTCGCGTATACGATTGTGCAAGGACGTTCCTCCGTCTCCTTCTTCAAAAAGTTGAGGAAGTTGCTGCGCGACAGCAGATCGAGATCAACGGTGATCTCGTCCAGCAGCAGGATGGTCCACGGTCTCAGCAGACCCATGGCAAGTTGTACACGCCTTCGCTCGCCGTCTGATACGGCGTGCATGCGCCAGCTGAGGTCGATATCGAGGATGCGCACGAGTTCGTCGCGGCGCTCGGTGTAGTGGTCGCCGCCGATGGAGGAGAGGAGAGTGGGCACGTCGATATCGGTGCGGACGATGGGGTTGAGCACCCATTCCAGACCGAGGTAGGTCACGCCCTCGAGGCCCATCTTGAAAGGGTCGATGCCCGCGATGTGGACGGTGCCGGAGGGGGCCATGCGCTTGCCGGAGAGAAGACGGAGGAGCGTGGTTTTACCCGCGCCATTGGCTGTGACCGTTAGTCAAGATCTTCATGGCCAACATTCACTCTTGCATACCTCCGATCAAAAGTGTTCTGCTGCCGGGTGGCAGATCAAGGAAGACATCTTTCAGCCCACTCGAGCCATCGGGGAAGGCGTAGCAGAGGTTCTTCACGTCAATTGACGGCGCGACTTCCTTGTTGTTGGCTGTGTTCGACATTGTAGCGTGGGATTGCGTGTATAATGGCTGTTACACCGGTGGTGGGAGGAGACTACATTTTGTAGGTAGCTTACGGTGGAGTCACCTCGGTGGGCTAGACTTCCAAGTCGACATGAGTGATGCCATCATTCCGCTGGGGTCCGCGCTAGGCCAAAACAGGCAGGCACCGTCCTAGACCCTGACGGCACTTCAAAGTTCGTCTCAGCCTCAGCTTTTTCAACTTTGTCGCATTTCTCGAGCTATTGTTCATGGTTTCCTAGCATCGGGCCAGCTGTGCATCGTGGGCCGGCATGATCCGTGGCGTTATGTCATCGCGCAACTCCGAGATCGCAGTGCAGCCTCACGAACGCCATAACCACAACAGAAGATTTGACCAATATCTACGAAGTACGCATGTATGGATGGAAGGCTTAGTAGTGATGGGCAAGGGGAAAGTTTGTAATGCACGGAAACTGTATCGTGATTCATACTGCACATCTGATCATGAAGCAAAGCACGTGTAATTCGACAAAACTACCACCCACGCAAAGCAAGAACACACGTTCCATATATACAACCACTGTCTTCCTCATATGTACAATTGTCCCATCATCCCCTCTACTCAACATGACAGATCATTCTAGCGATGCGCTTAGAGAGAAACGCAGCCGGAGCTGGAGTCCTCAAGGAAGAGACCACCGTAGATCTGGCCCTCGTCAAGGTTGGCCTCTTGGAAACCAGCGTTGGCGACATCGTCAGTACCAGTGGGCTTCTTGAGGATGCCCATCTGGAACTGGCCGAGGCCGGCAAGGTTGACGGACAAAGGTCCGGCGACCTTCCTCAGCTCCTGCTGGCCGGCGGAGTAGAAGATGGTGGTCTCGCTGGAGGATTGTTAGTATATATTTTTGGACTAGGAGTGATAAGGAACGTACTTCTTGGTGTAGTCGAGGGTCATAGCAAAGTTCTGCCACTGGGTCTGGTCGATCTTAACGTTCCAGAGCCACTTGCCGGCGCGGTCAAGAATCTTGAACTGGTCCTTGTCGGCATCGCTCTTTCCAATGAGAGATCCAGTCTGGAACTGAATCTGGTTGTTGCTGAAGTCAGCAGCCTCGTGCCAGACGTTGAGGTACTCATGGGTGAGGTTCAAAGGCCTGGCGGAGTCCTGCTTGACACTCCAGTGGAGGGTCTTGACACCCTTGCCACCCTCGCCGTCAGGGGCATCCTTGAGGAACTGGAGACCGGCGCGGCGGAATCCCTGCTGCTTCTGGAAGATGGAGTCATCGGAGATGGTCACCTCAACAGCCTTGAACTTGTCGCCATCGAAGCGCGAGGATTCGTTGGGGAACTTGAGGATCTGAGACCAGGTCAGGTTGTTGCCCTTGACGAAGTCGGCGTTGAAGAGCGTGTTGGTGGTCTGAGTGTCGAAGGAGACGGGTGTCATGTTGGCAGGGACACGGCCGTCGAAGACGATGGGGCACTTGGGCTCAGCGGCGCGAGTGACATGGGGGTGAAGGGCGGGTGCAGCCAGTGCAGTGGAGGCAACTGAGGCCAAGGTAATGAGCGTAGAAGTGAACATGATGATGGTTCAAAAGAATGTAGTAGAGACTGTGGATGCGCTGGATGTGGATGAGACGACAATAGTGGGTGGGTGGAGACACTCTTTATACAATTCTCAAACGCGTCACTGAACGCTTTCTTACCCCAAGCCGATCTGAGCACGGTTCGTATTAGATGAACATGTCGGTGCCCACGCGTCCGGCTTGTTCCATGGCCGAAATATAGGGATACCCGCGCTTTCATTTGGGGTACTGCAGAAAGTAGACAGCTAACCAATGGCACGGGCAGGAGAATAGTGATGGAATATTCTATAGTAGGCCCGACGACGTCAGGGTAAGGCCGCATTAATATAGGTGAAAGACGCTGCTGTCATGAGGCTCCTTAACCGGGATGTGGGGTAATGTGCACGGCTGCTGGTCAAGTACCGGACGGACCGGCAACCCGTTGCTTTTTAACCTGGGAGTAATAAGAAGAGGAGTCGCGCCGACTGTTGTACCTGGATTGAGAACGGTCTTTTACCGTCCACCGTACCTCAATCCAACTCTTCATCACATCGCGATCCTTTTTGAACAAGACCTACTGCCTTCACTGCCCAAAGCGCAATTTCATGCGTGGAGCAGCAGCGACAACCGACATTCTCAGAAAGCGACCGAATCAGGCCGTCAAACACACCGGCGCCGCCAAGTTTCATCAACACCGGGAATGCGACCGAGTCGTAATGATCTGAACAAGCATGGCTGTCAGCAATGGGCTGAATGTGGTTCTAGAGTCGTTCGCGACGCTGGGCATAATGTTGAAATGGAGAGGATATAGTGGTGTCAAGAGTTGGCAGCAGCCATTCGGCGACGCGCAGAGGGTCCAAGCGGAACAACTGTATTCCACCCACCGGCAGCGGAAGGTCAAGCCTCCGCTCTGGACGAATTCACTCAACATCGTCCATCTACCTACCACGAGGGTACCTCAAGGGCCGAATGCGCGTCGGGTAGATGTGAAGATGTGTGCTATTATCATATACAGGTCTAACGCCCGCGGTATCATACCGCCTCGCAGTTTATGCCCTGCGTCTATGCTCAAACTCTGTTCATTACATATTCGCCCAAGAAGCTCATCGGCCTGATGTCCATCTTCCTGTCAACATGACGCTTGCTCAACGCGCTGTTTGCGACGCTCCACATATCCAAAATGATGTGCCAACCCAGAACGCCATGCATGAACGTGGTGCAAGCAACCGCAACGCCTCCCTATGTGTCACTGGTCTCGAATACAAGTCCGTCTCTGTACGCTGACGTGAGAGTGTTTCTACATCTCTTGAGGGGTCAGCCAGGTGGCTTCGACGCAGCCTTCGTAAAACTCTCTCTGGCCATTTTGTCCCTCGACACCAAAGCCCATGTCGCGGAGCTTTCCGGTGTCCCAGCCACTGACGAACTCGCCTTGACCGCCGTTTTCTCGGTCGACAGCATCGCCAAGCTTGATGTAGTCGGCGTGACGACAGACGGTCTGCGAGTAAGACCATTGGAGGCAGTTGCCGTCATTAGCGCACTCTGAACCGCACGAGCCGGCGTTGCGATGTGCGGGACGATCGTTCGGTACGGGCGCTTGCGAAAGGTTATCCCACCATTCTTTCGAAGGACCCTGTGATAGGAAGCCGTGGGTGTAGGAGAGGAACGATGAGTAGGTGAATGGTTTCTACGCGATAATGTTAGTCAAGTTGCCTGAAAGAGGCGGGATCTGAAGAATGCTTACCGTGTTGTACGGCCGTGTCCTTTCCCACCTCCACAAGTCTTCCATCTGCTGTGGCTTGAGCTGGTGCAGCGAGAGCATTGGCACGCACCACTTGTCGCGTGTGGTGGTCACATCTTTGAGCTTGTCGCTGGCAAAGGTAGGGTACATGGGCTCGAGCTTGTGGCCGGTCGCGTTCTGGATGGCGTAGGCAAGGACAGCGTCGCCGCGCTGCTCCTCCTTGACCCAGTTCTCGTATCGGACGCCTAGTCGGTTTTCGCGGGGGATCTCGGTGGAGCCGGGAGTCTTGCCTGGGATGAGTTGCTTGACAAGGCCCTGGGAGAGGACGATACCTGCGCCGCCATAGGCGAAATGACGGCCTTCAGAGCCCTTGTGCGCCTCGCCAAGGTAATGTGGCTGCGAGGCGTCAAGCTGGCTGAGCAGGCGGAAGAGCGTGTCCCAAAAGAAGTAGACGTCCGACTCAATGAAGACGAACCACTTGGCTGCGGGGTTGGTCATGTATGCCTTGTCCACCATGGGCAGGTACTTGAAGCGATCGAGCTTGAAGGACCGCTGCTGCTCCTTGACCGTCTCGCCGCCCTCGTGTGCCTTCTTGTGCTCGACGTAGATTTGGAAGTCGACGTTGTCTTTCTGGTAGCTCTTGGGAAGCTCTGCGAGGATGTCGATGACATGGCGGTCTCCCAATCGCTCTTCCCGGTCGCCTACGATGATCAGATTCGTGATGCAGCTCGATACCGTGCTCAGGTGTGCTTTCGTCTCGTGTGCCCCATCCGATGCGACCTTGAGGACAACCTGCACCTCTTCCAGTAGCTTAGTAGGGAAATTCTGGCAGTAGTCGAGCTCGATTGAATTGGCGGCTTTGGTTTCGAGGGGCGGGAAATACGACTTTGTCTTCGCTTTGTGTACGGGCGCCTGGGGATGTGACCCTCTCCGATGCGAGAGTGTGTATGCAAAAAAGAAAAGAAGGAGGCCGGGGAAGAGGAATCTCCATGGCCGCCGTGCCAAACGGCCAGCCAGCGGTTTCAGCATGTTGCCGTCGCTGCGGCCGTGGGGGATGGGCGGTCGCTAGGGGCCTGGGAGGTCGCCGGTGATAGGAAGCGATGCTATGAGGAGGAAGGTGCGATGGGCAGGCGGGCGACGTCACCGTGGCACATTGAGCAGGCGGTTGGTGTTGGGTGGAGGTGGAGGTGTCGACGACGATGATGGCGCATTGGCCCTGAGCCGCCGTCCTGCGCGACTTGCGAATCCAGGCCGGCTCCCTGACACGCGAACCCGCTAGCCGCCGGCGCTTAGCCTTCCCCTTGTGTCTTGGTGCTCCAACACTCCAACCACCTGCAAACCTCAGTCCTTTCATCCTCCTTCACCCGTGATTGCTATGCGCGACATCGCCATGCATGTTGGGTGCAACAGTGTCGACATCTACAGCGGGCATGTAGAATGCTGGCGATGACGTGTCCGCCATTCTCATCGACTTCCTGGAAGAGTGGGAGCTGTCCGTATCCGTCCAGTGGAACGACCGCTCTTCAAATTGGTTGTACTCTGGGTCGTCCTCCACGTCGGACCAATTTGGTAAATCGTCCATGTCAAAGTCATCAATGTCGTCGTGGTTTGTCCTTGGATCGCTATCTGGGTGCATCGAAAGGCCAATGGATACCAGGAAGAGATCACACGAGTCGGCCGATCGTGTTGTGAAGGAAGGCGCGCGGTCCATATCCGCAGCTTCTCTCTGCCGTTGTGTGTGGTCCCGCTCGACTCGCTGCGCCGACTGACACGCGAACGAACATGCTGAGTCGCTCCCTTGGCTGGTAAGGCTAAGCGTTACTGCGTCCGCATGTGATTCCATGTCCATTCCCGAAGAACAGAGACTCAGCCTTTCGTGTACGGCGCATTGATCGGATCTAGATTCGTGTCCAGTACGGTTGCGTTCAATCCTGTTCTCCGGACCACGTACGAAAGAGCTGCTCAGGTCCTTAGTCGCACTAGCAAGGCTCACAGTCTTGGGTCGCGCGACGCTTCGTGGAAGGCGCCCATCATCTTTCCCAAATGTATTGCCCGCAGCAAAGGACGAAGACAGTGTCAGTCTTTGGCCAATGATGCGCAGCTCGTCCAGCGGTAGTCTGTGTACGAAACGCAATATCGCAATATTGACTTCGAGACCTACATACGCATTCAGATCACTCGTACGCTGATTGACCGTGTCTTTTCTCGGAGCGCTATCGATGGAGGCTCCGCCGCGCTCTTCTGCCTCGGGGCATGTGCAATCGATCGGCGCGATCGATGGTGTAGACGGCGCCGTTCGCGCTTCGTTGTGCGACGTCGCTCGGGTGCCTATCGTCGAGATAGATTTGCTGTCGGTATCATTTCGCGTCAGAGAAGAGAAAACACTCGATTCGCGCGACTCTATGGACTCGCCACGCGCTTTGGACATGGGGATCGATAGTCGACAACCCAGCGAACGAAAGAATTGCTTGAATTTGCCCATCGGTAAGCTTGATATTGGCGACGTAATCATAACGCTGGTTGAAGAGTAAAGCGTTGCAATAAATTCGAGTAGTTACGGTGTAGTATAGGAGACCGACTGCCATAGCGCATTCGTGGCTTCTTTCACAAGTCCGGCGCAACTTTCGCTCGGAAGACCTTTGCCGTTCGTACCTGGATTCACCGGCCGTCGTGAATACATACGACAGCTGTCTTGCCACGATCTTCCGCTTCACGAGCACCCCGTCGCAATACCACATCCGAAGCTACACAGTGTACCGAAATAAAGGCGTGGGAGAGGAAACACAACGGAAACGGTGGTGTTGGAAAATAGCTTCGTACCCTTTCCCGATACTCACAGCGGCGATGTGACTCGCGTGAGGTATATAATGTCTGCTCCGTTACTGCACTGCTCCTCAACCAGAGACCATACTTTCATATTACTGCCACTGATCCAGCCGCCAGCAACATATCCACCTTACTCAGCAACCAAAGCATCGCACATAAGTAATCGAAATACAGCTATCAAATCCCATCATGAAGTGCCAGCTTCTCTCCACCTCGCTCCTCCTGAGCCTCGTCCTCGCTGCACCACTCGCAGAGCCAACCAACAACATACAGCGAGCTGACAAGCAATCCTGTTCATCAAAGCCCCACCCAACTCTAGAAGACTTCCACAAGGCAGCAAAAAATTGGTGCGACGACCACATCCGCGCTGATGCTCCCAACCCTACTCTCCAGCTCCCACCCGACCCTCATAACATGCCCATCATGCCGCCTCTCACCGCCGATTACACCTTCAAGCTACCCAATCCCGACAAGAAGAAGCCCGCCATCTCTCTCCCTGTGACTTTTGAGATTCGCGGGTGGGCGCCTATCCAGCGGGATTATTGTTACCTTGGATTCGGCATGCCAAACGACTGGAACAATGGGAGTGGGAAGGACGAGGAGCAGGAGCAGATTGGTAAAGGTAACATATGTACGGGATCAGGTGGGAAGACGTTGGTTCAGGGTTGGAATCAGACTTATTGGTGGAATCATCATGGTGTTGTCTTTAAGGGAAAGTAGGAAGAGGGCATGTCGTCATAGTAGTCATCCCGTCACAGCAATCATCCTAAATATGCGTTTTGTAGCATTTTATATTAACTATTCTACAATGGTTTGCCGAATACGTCTCAGCAACATGGTGTCATCTCGCTGCCATCAGTACGTCCGGGAGGTCGTCATTGAGACCTGCGATCACATTCAACCAGATACAGTGCTGTCATGCGTTTACATCCTCTCCTGACCGACCTCTCCGTCCTCCACAAACCAGTGTAAAGTCTCCAAACCTCTTCCGCCATCCTCGCGCGACGCGAGAACTCAGTTTGTAGTCGGCTTGGGGGGAACGAAGGGGGCGGGCTCGGAGGACTGAGCGACATGCTGGAAGGGCGAGAGAGACCCCTCGGGGAAGCCGCTGTCGCTGTGGGCCAAGGTGCAGTTGGCGATGCGGCACGTGCCGTTGTTGTAGTACTTGCATCTCATGCGCTTACAGACCTTTCCGAGGTGCTTGCAGGGCCAACAGGGGGAGGCACCGTCGCACTGCTTGTGGATCTTGGACTTGTAGCATTCGATGCAACACGGGTTCGCGTGCTTGACCTTCTTGCTACGCCTATGTGGGCTGCTAATGCGCTGTTAGTATGTCTCTCAAAGCTGTAAAGATCAACGTACTCTTCAGCCTCACGTCCGCGCTTCCGAGTCTTGGTCTTGTTCTCGTCCAGCACCATCCGATAAGCAGCCTCTGTCGCTTCATGCAATCCCCTCTCGGACTGAAGCGTGTTCTCGGCGTGCAACGTGCGGCGCACCAGGGCGGCGCTATGCTGGAGCATCCCATCCATCGCCAGGTTATGTTCGGGGCGTTCCGTCAGTTGCTGGCCGAGATTGGCGAACGCGTTCTGGTTCTTCTCGTCGATCAAGGCTTCTTTCTCTTGCTCGAGCGCTTGCATCCGGACGTCCTGCTCAGCCATCGCTTCTTGCATCCGAACCTTTCCAGTCGACAGTGACGTAACCTGGCTGTTGAGGTCTCGATTGCGCTCGCGGAGGTCATCGAGATCTTGATCGCGGGCGGCAGCGTTGTCTTGCATCTGAACCTGTTCAGCCGACAGTGAAGCGACCTGGCTGCTAAGGTCTCGATTGCGGGCCAGAACTGCCGCTAGGACCGTGGTGAATAGAGTCGGGTACTTTCGCTCGACCTTTTGGGCCTCGGATTTGGGGGTCATGTTGGAAATGGTATTTCGACGTAATGTTCGCAAAAGGTGTGTCAGTGAAGGTCGATTATTTTGGCCTGTTTGAGTGTGGGCGATCAGGCGAAAACGGCGTTATATTCCCGCGTCACGGGGACCACAGTGACTCAGAGCATCGAATTCCCTTTGCGGCCTTCTGTACGTATATTCCTCATTCACCTCGTCGTCACTGATCCCCGCGGTTGACCCGGGCACGGACGTCACGTGTGTCCTAGCGCGCCAAGCGTTTAGCGGACTCTGGCCTCCATATGAGCTCGGCCTGCCCCTCCAACTTGCTCTTTTCTTCTCCAACTGTTTTTACTGCCTTCTCCACAACCTATCAGCTTGGGCTCACTCGAAGATGTTGTCGCAACTCTAAGGGATGAGTCACTTCGAATCATCGATCTTGGCTTCACGGGGCCTTGACGACTTCGTTGTGCTGGGGGTCTGTGGGGGAACTGACCAAACCCCTTGGGAAGTTCGCCAGAGATTCATACTTCGATTCGGGTCTGACAGCCCGATCGGAGTCTCGCTCGCAGTCCAGTTCACGCTTTTGATCAGGATATGATTGATCGTGTTATCTCGGTAACACTTTCAGCGCCTGACGGGCTGGGTGCCAAATCCGATGACTCCCCTCACGTCTCGATGGTTTCTTGAAACCACGTAAACGATGAGCCGTCTCACGGGCTTTGGACACCTCCGTACGCATGCAGCTCTGGTGTCAGACAGAGTATGCATTGCGATACGGTTATCTTCATTGAGCATCTTTCCCTTGTGGCGAGACTTGAGGAAGGTAATGACGTGATTCTTTGTGCTGTATAGGTACTCTGACATATGTGTTCATTCTCGAGGTTGGTAACTTTGCGAAAGCATGGTATCCTGTAAGGATGCTATCAGAAGAGGTGGAATTTTACAAATACTACACTTGCAATGATAAATTATGAGGATGACATCAATTCAAAAGTAGTTAATCTTGAGGTCGAACGTGATGGTTTGTGGATACATGCTATTATCTGTAGACGTTTACAGCGACCTTGTCGCGGCCAGGCGGCGACATCAGTGAATCATCCTGCCTCCTGCTGTTCCAAAACACCCTGTATATACACACGAGACTACACATCCTTCATCACCTCGACCTTGCCGTCATCGTGATGGACACGAGCACAATTGCCTCCGGCACAAGTGACACGCGGATGGTCGTAGTTGCGGCACTTCGTGTTAACACGCACCCTAGTTCGTTAGTAAACCCGTCTTGTAATAGATGGGAAGGTTGACTTACGGAAGTGTGACTTGAGCCGGTCCACCTTTCAGGGCGAGGGCCTTCAGTTTCATCTGGACAGCGGCGAGTTCGTCGTCCTTTTTGGCCTCACGGTCCCGGGCAGCAGCGAGTTCGGCCTGGAGAGCAGCGAGCTCCTTCTTGATCCTAGCGACGTTCGCCTCATACGCGCTGAGGTGGTCGGCCAAGGTTTCAGCCCGCTCGTGTTCAACACGGAGCACGTCCTTGATATCGGTCTTCTCGACGTACTCAGCGCCACGTTGACGCTTGGCCTCCTGTAGCTTGGTGCGTAGCTCGTCGGCGTTGAGAATAGACCTATGTACATTGTTAGATCTGGCAATGGCGTGAAGCGTCATGGGGGATACTTACTCGTCTTCCTCGATAGGAGAGCCAGTTGGCGAGGGCGAGTCGGCGATGTAGAGGCGGACTTTCTCACTATGAGTGAGCTCATTACCCTCGTAGTCGTCGTCGTCGTCTCCGTAGTCTTCGCCGTCGTATTCCTCACCCTCGTAGGCGGCGGAGTGCGGGGAAGTGGGTTGAAATGGTGAAGCAGATGACGCACGTCGGGGCGAAGCCGAACGGGGGCGGGGAGGCGAGCGCGAGCGTGACATGGTCATTTTGGTCCTTTTGAAAGTCGAAATGATGAAGTTGCGACAAGAGGTTTGGGAGGAATGAAGAGTTGTCGCAAGGCAGATAAGTAGCTAGAGAAGGCCCAAGCGCTACTAGCCTTCTCTCGCTCGTGCGGTGTGTCACCGCGTGTGTTGCCTAGGGGAGTTCTCCAAGAAATGACGCATTGGCGCTAACCTGCTGTGCAAAAAGAGCTTCATTTGTATCAAACGAGACACGAAGAGTGCGTCTTCACAGCACTATCACTCACTGATTCTCCCTTCCCCACGTCTCAACACCACGCGCGACTATCAGACTACAACAGTCATGAGCGAATCGGCGCAGATTCCCGATATCACTGCGGCCCAGGGCGACCCTGTGGTAGATCCAGCGTACGTCGATGCCTTCCATGCTGTATTCAATTGGTTCACCGCGCTGACAAGTTTTGAAGCCAGTCGTCCATGTCATCGCCCGTCCATACGGAGGATTCACAGGCAGGCGACCAGATGCTTCGCGAGGAGGAGCAATCGCCGCCGGCGATAGTGGAAGGCACTTCAGCGACAGGCACCTCAGCAACAGGCAGCCTGACCGACGAAGATGAACCTCCTACTGCTTCCATGCCCGTCCTCCGAGTCGGTTACAACCGCGTCATCAAGTGCGTAACATGTCGCGCCAACGACCTCCCGTGCGACAACCTCGACCCTTGCAACGAGTGCTACAAAAACGAGACCGATTGCGTTCGCCGTCGCTGCGGCTTTGCGGCTAAGGAGATTGGAGAGCGCTGCGAGCTGCTCTGCGACCGTCTTCACTTCAGCGACGTGGCTAAGGAGAGCGAGGCAGACAGCGACAAGATGAACAAGCGCAAACGGGAGGTAGAAGACAGTGGCGCGGAAGAGAAGGGCCCAGATAAGGCAATGAAGGACGCGGTCTTGGGGGAGAGGACATCGGACGAGCAGGCAGAAGGATGTAACAGCCTGGAAGAGATGTGGTTGGCGGCAAGGACCACTTCAGAAAGGGAAAGGATAAGAGATCGCATGATCGACGAGCAGATGGCGAGAGCGAAGGAGGAAGTGGCTGCAAGGATGGCAGCGGGAGAGTACCAGAAAGACGACGTAACAAAGGGTGAGGACAAGAAGGCCAAGAAGTCTGCTGTTGCCATCGCATACGCGTATCTCGCAGATGGAACCAGAGTCGCGGCGCAGGATGTTGAAGCTGTGGAGTCAGCTTTGTCGTAAGGATAAGCATCGCTTGTGGCGATCAGGCGCTACGGCTTCAGGGATGACAGGGCGCCTCATCGCACTCACGATATCTTCTGTAGACCGTCAGGCCGAAGTATCGCCTAGTCGTCGATTGTGGGGGAAGGACACATGGTATGCGGGGACAGACTTTTGGATGAAGCGTTCTGCGATGTAAATACGCTGAGATCTTCCTGAAATGACTCTTGATGTAATATCAAAGACCAGTGTACATATTCATGGGCCAGATGTTGTGATTAGTAGAGGTGATGTCTTCGGTGAGGTTGGTAAGCTTCCGGCTATTCCTACCAATCAGGACAGCCCCGCTCCCGGTACTAAGGTAGCCTACATCATCACCAGTTGACATCGCCTTTCCCATGTGCGCACGACATCTCCTCAGCATTGTTCGGAATCAGTCTCGAAAAGTTATCGCAAATCCAACTCAACACACAAGACACCCAGGATGGCAAGCACTAGCGAGTTGCGTCCTCACCAGCTTTCCAGCATGTCTAGTGATGAGAAGCTGACAAATGCAGTCTAGTACGACTGGCACAGAAACTCGTTCGCGATGGGCCATGCAGAATAGAACATACGGCACGCCGTGTACGAGGCCTTCTCAATGGGAAGTATGCGTTCGACACACTAAACGCGCATCATGTTTGGGAACTGGAGTTACGTTACCCACAGTATGGACAGCCTCCTCATTCGTATACTTTTGCTGTGCTGAGCATACCAGATATTTCGTACCCATTTCAAGCTTCACTCCCCACGCCAAACTATCCCGAGGCTCCGCTGTAGACGGGACAGATGGCGGCGCACATCTAGCGAGTCTTACAGTCGGCAATCGCAGTAGCAATCGCATCCTCATCTTCAACACCGGCAAGCTCAAAGATCTCGTAAAAGTCGACTTCCGAGCTGTTGACCAATGGTTTGAAGAAGACATGGAGATATATGGCCATCCCAAAGATCCCTACAAGCGCATCGACATTTTACCATCTTCTCGAAACGTCAGGGTAGCCGTCGACGGCGTTACACTTGCTGAAAGTTCAAACGCCTTATTCCTCTTGGAGACTACGCTGAGGACTAGGCATTATCTGCCGCCCACGAGCGTCAATTGGGAGTACCTGACACCGAGCGACACTCTGACTTTGTGCCCGTACAAGGGTCGTGCGGAGTACTACAACGTCAGCGTTGGAGGCAAGCTGTATCGGGATCTTGTATGGTACTATAGATACCCAACTTCGGAGAGCGCGCCTATTGCCGGACACATGTGCTTCTATAACGAGAGAGTGGAGGTTTATGTTGATGGCGTGAAGGAGACGCCTTGATAGCGGCTGTCCACGCTCTGGGTATGGGGACAAAGTAGATGCCTCGTCAATATCTATCCGATCTTTCGTGCCGCGCAGCTGAGCGTTGAATGAGGTTGTGTACGTGACGCGAGACCGTATGCAGGGCGTTGATGACTTGGCGTCTGTAGTTGCGACGAAGCCGAACCCAATCTTGCGTTGTCCGACTCTTCTATCCGCCTGCACCCTCCCAGACCTCTCAATTGAATGAGGACTGGGGTCGAAAATCTATGCTTGTGCCAAGTTGTGATGAGCTGTGAAAGGAAACAGGAGAATTTATTGGTGTACGGCGCAGCTAGTGCACGGGAGTCACCTTGCCCGTTACGTGTATATTCCAGCTGATAAGCCGGCGAACGTCCGGACAGCTATACACATGGCCATATCCTGTTGCTGGCTATTGCGGTTGCTGGCGAGCTGTCCATTAACACGGAAGATGGAAAGAAGCCTCCAATATGTCAACATCATTGACAGAACATATAAGGTTGCCTGGAGAGCAATGACCGGGTGAACCACGGATCGCAGATCGAGATGAAGATTCGTTATGGTCGGTGCTGTCGGAGCGCGCCAGCCTCGCAAGTGCAGCGAGTGGAGCGATAGTCTCTCCGCCCAGCTACCGTCCGAAAAGCAGACACTAGTCATGTAAAGCCAAGACATATCCCGGCGTGATTCCGACATCTCTAGTGCTAACTGCTTCGAGGCCTGTCTCTTAAACGCGAAACAATCCGGAGCGGCTGGATGGCGCGACGCCTTGGCAGGGGAACCGAGGGGGAGATTGCAGCTGCAACGCCACATAGTCAGCATCCAGCTGCGGAATCCAGCGGCAATTTGGGCATCGCATCCTGTACTGGCAGGCATGGTGCAAATGTTGTGTCGCGAGAGCATGGAGTGTTGGGTGAAGATGGCAGGCCTGACTGCTTGCTCGAGTGCCGTCAATCTCCGCCGTGCTTCCGACTCGCAGCAAGCGGCATGAACCCCATCCTACCAGCATCACCGGTGCATCCCACCACAACAGGAAAAAAACTGTGCGCTGTCCCACTTCGTATATGCATCCTCAGGCCATTTTACTTTCATGTCATGCCGTGCTGACTGCAACTGACACCACCGCTTGAGGTTGTAGAATCTACAAAGATGCGCAACGTTGCCTGCATCACGGTCTAGAACTGCGAAAATTGTGCCTTTTCTCGTGGATTTTCTTTGATTCTGTCGGTTGACCCGGACTGCAGGCTCTACCACTGCCGTGGCAAGACTCGTTTGCGTAGGGCGTAGTTCCTTTTCCTTCAGAGGTGGCGCGCGCCGTCTCTCGGTTCCTGCAGCCACCAGCAAACTATCATCACTCAACCCCGCTGCTGTCTTTGCACGGCACACTCGGCATAGCTCATGGCCAAGTACGCCTTCGCACTCTTCGCGAGGCCAAGTATTGGCCTTCGTATCTTGGAGGATGTCTTTCGTTGCGTTGAGCCTGATGCGCGGACTAGAATTGCAGTAAACTTGGTTGTTTCAGCCGAGCTCGAACCAAATTCAATGCGCGGAGAGTTTCTGGAGCTCTGCCTCATAGACCATGGACGTCATAGCAATAACCTACACCATCAACGCCGCAGCACAAACATCGCAAAGAAACGGGGGTCGCACCGTTGACCGGTCATGACAGTGTATACCCACCATGAGTAGCGATGATTACCATACAATGGGACGCCGTGCTCCACAAACGCCTAGAAAACGATGTATCGAGTTCAGGGGTCGCCATGTCCTAGCCGCTCCCCGAGCCGAATAGTAAGCCGACCTATCCTTGATACAGCACAAGCGCTCCGGTGATCTACCAACGCCCAGGTTCTGCTGACCCGAAATAGACCGTGTGGCCCTACTATAGTAGAAGCGACAGGGCTGCTGCGCGAAGACGTGCATGCCGAGGCCACTAGACTAATCTCGCTCGTGTCAGGTCTCGCGCCGCTGCGTCGGGGAGAAAGATATATCTAGGGAGAGTCTGCGCCTGGGAAGATCTTCACGAGTTATCGCCTGTCACTCATCGCCCTTACCGTCAACTCGGGGTGCAGAGACTCATCACTCTTGGAAGTCATAGACTTCCGTACATTCGCTTTTGCAACACACTCGCTTTATTACGCTTAACATGCGTGCTACTACTCTAATAGGCCTTCTGGCCGGACTTGCCAGCCAGACTGTCAACGCAGCCTGCAGCGCACCCCTCAAGATCGACGATTTCTCCAAGCAGACCTCCAACCAGAACAGCTTGGGCGAGTGGACCAGTGGTAGGTCTTGTTGAAGCCCTGCACAAGAAGAAAGGCTAACCAGCGCAGATGATGGATCCATGTCCTCGATCTCGGCCAGCGGCGGTGTCCTGTCTTTCAAGCCCAAGTCAGGTTCCTACTTTTACGAGACCTTTCCTTGCCAGGCAGCCAGCTCCAATGGATACAACTCCATCAGCTTCCAGATGAAGGGGCCTGCCGGTGGCTCCGCGACCCTCGAGATCCAGACCAAGACCAGCTGCTCAGCTACGACTTACTCTTCCAAGTACGTTTCGATCTCTGGATTGACTGGCAGCACTCAGACCATCAACATCCCTCTGTCTCAGTTCTCCGGGGCCAACGCCAATGCTGTTACCGGTTTCGTTTGGGCTGGATTCTCTTCCACCACCGCCACATGGCAGATGAGCAACATCGCCTTTGGTTGCGGCAGCAGTGCTGGTGGCAGCACCTCCGTCTCCGCAACCAGGGTGGCTACCACCTCGAGCTCCTCGGTCCGCAGCACCATGACAACAATCTCGTCTCCCACGGCCTCAGCTGGAACCTGCTCTCCTTTGTTGATCGATGACTGGATTTCTCAATCGCGTCTGACTTTCTTGTTCTACAACGCCATGGGATACCCTACCTCTGATGATGCTTCCATGACTTCCATCACCGTTGGAAAGCCGTCTACTAACCACGTCGAGTTCGTTCCCAAGGCCGACTCGTACTTCTACACCCAGTTCCCCTGCGTCGACGCGAAGAAGAACAAGTACACCGGTATTTCTCTTCGCATCAAGGCTCCTAAGGGCGCAACCCTGTCCGTTCAGCTCGACTCCTCGGACAACTGTGACGCGACCAACCCCAAGTCCACCTATGCGTCCGCAACTGACCTTGGATGGACTTTCGATGGAACTGAGAAGCTGTACACCATTCCCTTCAGCAAGTTCGCTGGCCTCAACACCGAGAAGCTTACCACTATCCTCTTTTCCGGATTCTCTGGTACCACTTCCTTCGGTCCCATGGCCTTCTACTGCGGCAACTCTGGAGAATACGTTGTGCCTCCTACCTCTGCCGACCCCGGCGCCTCTGCTACCGTTCCCGCTCCTAGCAACCCATCAGCTACCGGCCTTGTGATTGACAAGTTCGCTAATGCCAACACCAACGCCATGGGCAACTGGCACGGTGGTGACGAGGGCATGTCTCTCCAGTACGCTGGCGGCAAGCTCACCATCAAGTCCCCCGACGCCGACTACTCCTACTACACCCAGGTGTCTGGTGGCTGTGCCGACTTCACCAAGTACAAGGGATCTTACCTCCACATCGCTTACACGGGTACCACTGCCTTCACTGTCGCTTTCCAGCAGCACAACAGCCAGTGCAACACCGAGATCGCTCCCTTCCCTGAGACTTGGGATTCCGCTGAGGCCGGCCGCTACGCCAAGAACGGACACATCTACATCCCCATCAGCCACTTCAACATCAACCTTTCTCGCGTCGTCGGCTTTGCGCTCAAGGGCTTCCACAGCACTGAGTCCGTCACCCTCTCCGTCATCGAGATTGTCTCTTCCGTCCCCGCCGGTACTACCATTCCCAAGAAGGACGAGACTGGTGATCTAGTCTTCGCTTGCAAGCGCCCCAACTCCTTCGCTTTCGCCATCGACGACGGTCAACCCGACCTCGCCCAGGAAGTCCTCAAGATCATCCGCGAGGAGGACGTTAAAGTCACCTTCTTCACCGTCGGCGCTCCCCTTCTCGACGCCTCCACCAACCTTACCAACGTCTACAAGGAGATGATGTCTGCGGGTCACCAGCTCGCCCTCCACTCCTTCACCCACCCTAAGATGGAAGGTCTCCCCGACTATGCATCCATCGACTGGGAGTACAACGAGGACGTCAAGGCCATGAAGTCGCAATTCAACGGCTTGACCTCCACCTACTTCCGTCCTCCCTTCGGTACCGAGGGTGCCCGCATGCGCTCGCGTCTCACAAAGGCCGTCGGCAACACCGCCAAGATTGTCAACTGGAGCGTCGACGTCGAGGACTGGTTGTGGGCTGAGACCGACACCCCTGAGCAGCAGAAGGTTGCTTTCCAGCGTGACGTCGACAAGGGTGGTAACCTTGTGGTTCTCCACTACCTCTACCCTAGCACTGTCAGCTACCTTCGGGAGTTCATTCAGATCGCCAAGGCTACTGGCAAGCAGCTTATGCGTGTCGATCAGTGCATGATGGACCCCAACGCTCCTCCGCTATAGATGCGATCATGTAGTATTAGTTGAGTTGACGAGAGGATGATATCCGAAGGTGCGAGTTGTTGTAGAACAGAGACTCGTTTAGCATATCTTGTTAATCGTAATTAAATCTCTCAGAACCATTCATACGAGCATCAGGCACATTGTGACCATTTTCCCGATCTACAGCAGAAAGACTATACTAGATGAAAGCTTGGAGGCATCTCGGGAAAAGCTGATTGTGTTGAGGGCCGATAAGCGGCATAAAGGCTGCAATGCTTATCCTTCTGCCATAAGCACCTTATAACGGTAGGCCCGATTGTCGTGAAGCTACGTCTCAGATTCTGTGAGTAATCACGCAATCAATTAAACCTTCCTCAAGCGTTTAGTAAACTCTTCTGACACAACCTGACAGCTCTCCAGCAAATATGCTTTGCGTGATTAGTATCAAGTTAACTTCGTGGTTTGCCAGAGTCGCCGGAGTCCTGGCCATGCACATTGCTACGCATGTGCTTCGCCTCAACTCTACCCGATGCTGCGAATACATAGTATATTGACCGATTGTACAATGTACGATGTACGACGGCCGATTGCGAAACTCGATAATTGATGGAAGTAGCCGGATCATAAGATGACGTCACGTCAGACTTGAAATCGCCTAGCGTTAGGTGGGCAAAATGTCACGTGTCGTCAGCATGGTGGTCGAATGCAAGCGCATACCGCACTATCCTCCCTGCCTACATCCTCGATGTTCGCTGTTTCTTCCGAAGCCTTACCATCGGCATGCGGTTAGGTTCTCGTGTTGAGGTATGCGGAGCCGCGTCTCCGGACCTTTGGCGGTGACGGCTGACCTTTATATCTTCCCTATAGGCGCACACACGGCACAAGTTATGGCGCCTGTCAAGCAACAACAAATGAACTGTCTTTGTAAGCGCGCAACCTTAAAGGCTATCAGGTCTTGTCTATCAATGCCTACTTGTTCGTCCAACACCACTCTGGTAAGCTTTTAGGATCCCACTCCCTCACCCTAGTTGCCTCAAACTCTCCCTTCTCGTCCCTACGAAAAATGAACCTTGGCTTTCTCACATATCTCCCGAGATAGGCTTCCATGAACTCATACTCTTCCAGCTCAATCAGCAGCGGTAGCTGCTGATGGTCTAGCTCCAAATACAGATATCTTGTCAAATTCTTCAGCTGCCACAACGACACAGCCCAGAGACCCGGTTCTGGAGTCTTGTAGTGGATGGCATGGTAGATCAGTGAGTCGAGATAGGTAGTAAGATTCGGTACCAAAATGGGACTTGGGTGGCTTGCGCTTTTGCCGCGCGGTAAGCCGGGGAAAAAGATGGCGTTGGTATGCGCACCAGGAGGCGAATTTGGCACTTTCGTATCTGGATGCACACGAGGAGCATACCACCATCCATCCTCTCGGTGCATAGCTGGATGCCAAGTCTCTTCGACGAGGATAGGCTGCCAACAGTACACGTGGGGGACTTCGATACTGATGCAGCTATCTATGTCAAGATGGTATGCGGTATCGGACCAAAGAGCTAGGTAGAGGAATTCGTTTCTGTTTTCGGTTGATGTTCGCCGGAGCACGATATCGGCGTCGCAATTCGATACTGGCTCAGTGCCAAAAATGTCCTCTAGATCTTGTTCGTTGAGTGTCCATCTTGAAGTGGCTAAAAGATCCGATGCGACGGCATTCAGCGTGTTGTGGCGGATGAGAATCTCGCATACATGTGTCATTGTTCCGGCAGACCCCATCCATCGCTGTGTCGCGCATCCAACGAGGATGAAAGGATGTCGATGCGATGCCAGAACGTCCAGAACGTGGCCAAGGCTGCCCTCCTCGGATGCGACTGGCTTTGGCGCTATGTAGCCGGTGGTTCCTGTTTCGTTACGGTCCATCGTGCGATTACCTTGTGATGAAATCGGTAAGATTGGATATGGCGAGGACGATAGAAGAGGGATGAGTAAGTGAATGCACCAAAGAACCGTGGAACCGACCTCGGGAGGAGTCGGAACGCTACGCTAAGACGCTAGCCAACCAATATGCTACGGAAGCTGGTAGCTTTGTCGCGTGAGGTGTTACTGGCGTGCATGCACTGAACCGCAAGCCTTTCGGATGGTACTCAAGTTCTCAGGATTGCAGCGTTATACTCAGTATGTGTTTATAGATTGTTGAGGTCATTGCTACTATACTGTATCATCGCCGCGTGTTGACGAGCCCAGCCTCAGTTCCTCCCTCAATTCGCTACATATGCCCCATGAGACAGTGCGCATAGCTGTTGAGACCTTTTCCCATAACTCCGTCTCGATCTCTATGGCCCGTTTGCCATCGCATTCGCCTCCGATGTCCTGCGCTGGCGCTCGTCCTCCGCTTTCCTGGCTTCTAGCTGGATGTCCGCGATATCTTCGGGATGCCTCTGGATCTGCGACCTGATGATGCCGGTTTGAGAACTGATAGTAATGGCCTGGTTGGCGTGGAGGTGAGTAATGGCTTCGAGCTTTTTGTTCGTGCGCGCATGAGCGGCTTTCTCTTGCGCGAGTTCTGCTTCGAGGCGAGCGACTGGATCGACTGGGCTTTGGGGGAGGGACATGTTGGCGCTGAGCTTAGGGCTGGTCGTTAGCGACCTGGTTCAGATTGGGTGAAAAGCGGAGGAATACCTTGTCTTTGAGCTGTATGGGGAAGGTGCGGCTGGGTGGTTGCTGGCAGGCACAATCGCGGAAGACGTTAGATGGCAAAGGTGGTGGCGGGGGAGAGTGGACTATTGTTCTTGCGTTATCAAGGCGCGACCTAAGTCTCTTTCACTTTCACCGACTGTTGTTTGTTGTTTGCTCGCTTACGCGTAGGGCCGCACAAGTGAAGGTGCGTCCGGCACGAAACACTCGTGGCTCGTCTGAGCTACAACACTGAACAGCCACCACCGAACCTCGCCACGCAGTCACACAATTGACTGCATCGGCACAGCTAACTCTCCTTCAGTTGCCAGTCATGGCTGATTGCGATGCCCTCGTAACGCCATCAGGTCGGCACGTGTCACTGAGACAGATGCAAGACGTTGGTGCGAACAACTCGCCAAGCTCACGCAAGGAGAACGAGCCATCAGCACGTGAGAGCTGTTTACCTGAGGAGTACAGATCTTTTGTGGAACGTTCAAAGGAGAAAGATCTTCTGAGAAAAGAAGCACAAGAAGCAGCTGCCAAATTGTACAAGAAAGAGCTAGAGACGGTGGAATTGAACCACGAGAAGGCTTTGAGGCACCTAAAGCTCGAATACAGTCTCCAGGTCGATGGTCTCACGAAACAGAAGCAGGAGCTGCAGACTACGATTCACGCTTGCGGCACGCTGTTTGGAGAAATGCGCGACAAGAATACGGCAGAGATCCAGGAACTTACTCAAGCTATGCAGCTACTTTGGAGTGAGCTGTATGCCAAGGACAAGGAGCTCAAGGTCATGTATGACGCGTACGATGAACAGGTCAAGGTACTCGAGCATGAGAGGGCGGAATTACCAACCAAGCTAGCCAAAGCCGCGAAGGAAGCGCTCGCTCTTCAGTCCAACGCAAAGCCAACCAACGAGGCTGTTGCTACCAAAGCCGCTGCGTTAGTACAAGATCCCCCTCACTACTTACTTGGCTAACTCTGCCTAGATCCGTACCTCCGCATCTCAGAGGCAACCCACAACGCTTCGCACCCTGCAGCCAGTGCATGCGCCACAACTGGGAATGCGATGGCGGAGCTCACTGCAAGAACTGTTCGATGCGAGGCATTACAAAGGGATGCAAGCGAGTCGCGTGCAGGCACTACAACAAAGGCCTGTGCAAGAACGAAAACTGCCGCTTTGCACACGCAGGAGATGGATACAAGAACATCGTATCGTATGAAGCTGTATGGGGTGACGGGCGCGAGTTGAGTCCAGTCGAGCTTCAGAAGAAGGGACACAAGGGAGGATGGAAGCCGGCATGGTCTTGAACGATGGGGCGTGCATCAGTACTACATGGCATGAGAAACGTCGAGAGAGATGTAAGATAACACAGTATTGGGAATACAATATACAATTTGAGCTGTGTTACATGACAGGAAAGATGACTTTGGAGGCGACAAGTGATTTTCGGTTGATGGAAATGATCCTGCGCATGAGTTGTCACGTCCTGGGTATCATTGCACACCTACATTTAGCGAGGTTGGCAACAATGTATCCAAGTACATCTAGGGCGTCAACGCTCTCGGTTCTACAGCAAAGAGCTTGTTGAACATGTTCTGTGGGTCGTACTTGGCCTTGAGGTCTTGCAAACGTTCGTAATTGTTGCCAAAGACGTCTCTGGACTTCTCTTCGTACTCTATTTGGGCGTTAGCATACTGCCGCATAACAATCTCTTTCCCGTGTTCGCACTATATGAGTGAGGAGTGAACGTTTTAGAGGATACTTACGGTCGTAGTTCCCATACACCATTGTCGCTCCGTGACTGCCTCTCTTGCCAATCCACCCATCGTTACTCGCCCCTGCCTCAGCGCCACCACGTTGAAGTTCATTCTTGAACAGGAGCGCAACATCCCTCGACCACTGCCTACACTTCTGATCGTTCTCCTGGTCCCACCACAAAGGCGCAACGGCCGCATTGAAGTGTCTTCCGCGGTTCGCAAAGGCCATGTCAGAGTTGGTGACTTCAACAATCTTCGTCGGATCTAGTAGCTCCCACATAACCTGGGAGCCGACTGCATCGGATGTCTGGTCAGTAAACTTGGCATATGCCTCCAAGACGGATACAACGAAGTCGCCACGGACAGGAAGCTCGAACCCAGCTCCTTTGATAGAGACACGCGCACCGATGGGTAGATCCATGAGTTTGTTTGCCTTGGCGTAGGGCATCATTGCCATGGTACTCATCAAAGGTTCCAACCCAACGATATCCTTGAACAGCTCTTTGCCGTCTTCTTCCGTTCCATGATAGATCGCGGCTACGAAGAACAGGACCTGGCCACCAGCAGGTGGAGGCCTGACAAAACCGAAAGCGCTCGCAGCTTTCCCCGTTGCTTTCGAATCGCCATCTGCGTTCGGTGTGAAGATATCGTTGCATGCTTCCACAGCTTTCTTGATGATATCTGGCGTTGGTGGAAACATCATGAAGCCAGCCCATAGATCGCCCGTCTCATGGGTGCGGAATACAAACTCAATGCCGACACCAAAGTTCTGTCCCGCGCCGCGCAGAGCCCAGAACAGGTCTGGGTTCTCATTGGTAGAGGCTTTGACGATACTGCCGTCCGCCAATACGACAGTACATGAAATGAGATTGTCGACAACCAGTCCGTGTTTGACTGTGAGCCAGCCAAAGCCGCCGCCGAACGTGAGACCACCGACGCCGGTATCTGAGACAGTGCCACCAACTGCTGCAAGACCGTACGGTGCAAGAGCTTCATCAACATCACCCCAAACGGCACCTCCGCCGACTTTGATCGTTCTTCCCTCGACGTCGACGTCGGTAGTACGCATATGTGTATTCAAGTCGATGAGTAGTCCGCCGTCCGTTGATGATGCGCCAGCAGTCGAGTGACCACCTCCTTTGACGGCGAGGTCAAGATTGTGTTCGGAAGCATACTTGAGGGTGATTGAGATTGCTTCTGCCGATTTGGGGATTAGGCATGCTCCTGCTGGCTTCACAGCAGCGCTTGACCATCGGTGAATGGATTTTGTGTATGCCTCAGTTTCTTTCGGTGTCACTAACTGGGCGTCTCTATCTCTCAGCAATTCGCGAAGTTCCGCGATGTCTGCTTCGTTGATTGGGCGTTTGGTAGCCATCGCGCAGAGAGTAGTATAGCGACGAGTAAAAGGAACGAAGGACAGATGTTATGACGGATACTTGGAGATATAGGGATTCGAACGCTTGGTCCAACCTCGAGTAGACGAAGACGTGACGAAGCGGGGTCTATATTGGGGCGTAAGCTTACCACGCCGTTGGCCGTCAGCAACGTAGGAACATGACGAATAGCTGTCACCGATACCTCGGTAGAGATAAGACCTGGCATCGCCGGCCGTGTTGACAGGGAGCTCGACTGTATAACTGACATCGGGCTGACCGTTCATTGGAGACGCCATGCGGTTTTCGGAACCCACCCATGGCGATCAGCTCGACCACATATACACTACAGCCCACGAGGTCCCAGTCCCGAGCCCAATTTCACACGGTGTCACTAGCCTCTCGTCAAGATCTATCGTCGTCTTTGTTCTGGTCTGGCATGGACGTCAGAACATGTAAGCTGGTCAAGCGGGTGGCGCTCGAATCTCGAATAGCTGCTGCAATTGTGCTGGACAGTGCCCAGGTGAACATTCGGATGCTGACGGCCGAAATGGTGCGCCATGCTCAAACAGACGCATTTGCTCCTCAACCTGTGATGACGCGCTGTCCGTAGGCTCTGGGGATGGCTGCATCAAGCATGGAGTCGGCGTTACGTTTCCGGTAACTCAACCAGAAAACCATGATCTGGAGGTCGACGGATGAGGAAGAGGGCGAGACAATCTGTTTAAGAGGGTGCGCACAAGACCGCAGTTGGTACCATGAAGTTGTCGTGATGGAAAGGGTCCGTTGAGATGACGCGCATAGGGGGGTGGCGGGGGAGGAAAGGGATCGGCAAACCTAGTTCAACCTTGGCAGTCGCGTCGCGTGTTGCGAGCTTCTTCTCACGTCCGACGTTCTATCCCATCCTGCATCCCTTCTATTTCTTCAGACACCATGCCTTCGCTCTCTACTTTTGCTATCTATTATGACTCCTGCATCGCCCGAATGGCGGCACGCGAACGAGTGGAATACCCGTGACGTCATGTTGTCAGCGCACGCGAAGTCTGCCTCAAAGGCTGCACAGATCTCGAACGATATCGCACGTGGTCGAAGTATCACGGCGAAGATGGTATTGCGCAGCTCTTTCACTATGCGCATGCATGTCATCTTGCAATATTGCGTGGCGCGCTCAAAGTCGTGTCGCGAGCCATGTCGGAGAGGATTTGACTCAATGCAAGCTCGGTTCTCACTTCTCCTAGGTGCTTCACACATCTTGATTACCGCCAGGTAGTATGTCTTTGCACTCGGGCCCTCGGAAGACAAGCTTATCTCCATGTAGCCTTCCAGATGCCGAAAATATCGTAATGGTTGCGGTACTGTCTAGGTGATGCCTGCCTCTTTCATTGCACAGCACCGCGCACGCATGTTAGGTACAATCTCACAACGCTCTTATTCTGCCCGTCTATTCATCATGTTTCTTTCCGACAGATCCTGCTTGCGACCGCAAAGCTTGAAGTGGTTGGGATTTTTGCATTCGTCTCAGCGAGGATGGTGAGTGGTGTCTACAAGTTTGAGACGGTAAGACAAATATTTCATCTGCAGAGATCCCTCTGGTATTATTGTATGGTCGATTTCATGTTTACGAGATGGAAGCATTGTGAGTATTACGCCTGGGCAGCATCTTCTCTCTAGCCCAAGGTCACATGGTCGGCTTTGCGAGGTCGTCATCGCCGCCAATATCGTGCTGCCTTCACCAGAACAGCTTTGCCTCGCTCACCATTACTGCACGCTTACCTGGCTTGCATTTGTTACTCAGATCCGCGACTGCAAGCTGAGTTGTATGGCCTGTTGCCCTCCGCGAGTCGCGACCTTGAACATTGTGCGCCGCCTAAATCCTCTGTCACCGACGATTTTTCAACCGCAGGACTGACCCATCGCTTCCGCGCACAACAACAACAACCACCGATTTTCTCATTTTTGGTACCCCAACCAAGACCATAGACTTTTTCGCGACTCGACAGCGCAGCATATCTACAGCCGACCTCCGCCAATATTAAAGAGAAGCCGTCTTTAAGCAGCGCAGTCACCTTCACCTTCACTGGACGCATTCAATCCAACGCTCACTTCGACTTTCGCAACAAGATCGCGACTAGCGCCAAATACCACCTCTACTCGCACTTTCCTGCACTGTTTACCTACGTCTCACCTCGACCTCTGTCTACTCACCACAACACTATCCCACAATATCATCTTATCAGTCACACATTGCTACCCCGCGCGTTGATCGTGCATTTTCATCTCATACCGATTACCCGCATCCGAATCGCCCTTACAGTCATGGCGCCCTCAGCTCTCACCTCCCAAGGGAGCCCGTCGATCCCCGAACCCGCAAAGCCACAGCAACCCACTCCAGAAACGTCCCAGGAAGCTACCTCGCCCACGGTCTCACTTTCCGAAGAGAATTTCGCCCTTAAGCAGCGCCTTGCTCAGTTTGAACTAGCCAAGAAGCACCTTGTCGAAGAAGTCGCGGATGGGAAGCAAAGAGTCATTGATGCCGCGAAGCGTGCTACTGCCGCCGAGATCGAAATGAAAGCGGCAAAGGCACGCGCTCAAAACCGCTATACAGAGAAGGTGCACGCCAATAACGAGAACCGTCACCTAAAGAAAAGGATCGATACGATGGACAAGGAGCGTGCGGACTTCATTGTTGGTGTTAATAGCATTCTTCAGGGTCGCGACGAGATTATAGCTAAGCTCGAGGAAGAAAGAGCCAGAGGAGCATGGTCCAAAGAAGTCACTGCAGAGTTCACAAAGCAGGTAGATGTCTTTCAACAGGGCTACCTCGCGTCTGAACGTGGTAAAGAGAAGGAGAAACGTGAAAAGGAGCTGGAGAAAAAGGTGTCTGATAAGATCATTGGCCAGCTTAAATCCGACAGGGACACACAGGGCAACGTCAACAAGGATCTGAAGAGCGTGATCGCACAATTACGACAAGAAATCGCCACGGAGAAAGAGAAATCGAAAGCCGCAGCCGACGCGTCGACCATGGACCAGATCGAGGCTCGCGTCGCTGCTGCCAAGGCTGATGGGTTCAAAGAAGCCACCATAGCAAAGCAGAGTGAGAACGCTGAGTACCGAAAGACAATAGAAGAAAAGGCGACCGCACATGTCGCATGGACGAAGAAAGGCATTGAGACGAAAGCGAAAGAGTACGTACAGAAAAGAGAGGCTGAATGGCATTCAGAGCAGACTAGTCTCATACAGAGGGCTTCTGCAGTTGAAGCTGCGCTGAGTGCTGCCAATACCAAGCTTGCGATAGCCCAGCAACGGCCTATAGCAGCATCAATATCGCACCCTGTGCCAAACGATGCTCAGAGGCCTCCCAAACGGAGCCAACCGACTTCTTCGCAGGGAGCGTTCGACTCTAACAAGCGAAGGAGGCTTGACGCAGCTGGGTAAGTCCTACATCGTTTCTATGGATGAAGCTATTGCTAATACACACAGTGCTGCCGGTATCACTACACCAGACTTCAAGCGTACGCACTCGAACTCACTTCCCTCCGATACCAATGCCATGAGCCCTTTGTCAACCACATGGTCGAACGGCGATACTATCGTGGGCGACACACAAATGCAGAGGCAAGCTCGACATGTCGCACCGAATGGCATGCATGGACGAAGCTCGTCACAGCAGTCGACTGGCTCAGCAGGGCAGATGGCACCCGCCCGGCGTCCTTCGCAACAGCCTGGTGCCATGATGGCCGCGCCTCCAGGACGCACACCCAGCAACATGTCACCCCAGCAGCAGCGACACTTGATGCAGAACTTGGCTGCTGGTGACGCCGGCAGCCAAGCACCTAGATTCCCTCAACATAACTTAGGCCTGATGCGCACATCTCCGCAGGTCGGTCGACAGATGGAAAGTGGTCAGCATATGACCAACCAGGCCGGAAACATGAACTCGTACGGCGGGGACTTATCGATGCAACAGATGCAGCGAGATGCTCAGTCGCAAATCCGGTCACAGATGTCGACACCGGCGCATGGGTCTATGAGACGTGCACCTTCGTACGGCTCAGCTTCTGTGGCGTCGCCTCGACTTCACGTCGCGCAACACTCTTCGAGTCAATTTGCACCCCCCACTGGGCAAAACTGGAATATGAGGCAGAACTTTGAGCAGCAGAACTTATCAACAAATGGTACGAACCAGAGAGTGGCGGGAAACTACGCTCCCACCATGGAAGAGTTGGATTCGAATTTTGCCTTTGATGTTAACGCACTTGCGGGAGATGTTGGTGCTGCTTACGTTGGTTCTCAGCCAAACCTCGGAGACACATATGATGTCAGCGATTGGTTTCCCACAGAAGATAACAACACTCAGACGGCCTTCAATTCGACTCTCCCTTCGAATGGAACGCCTCCGATGCACCAAGCCGACTTCCAGCAGCCTCAACAGCGCAGCTACCAAACAAATTACCGCAATCACTCACAACCGTACGAGGCTGGTTCGAGAGACATGTCTCACGGGTCCGAGAGCCTCCAGAATGAGTCCACCATGAACATGAGCAGGAACGGTTCACGCCAGCCTTCTGTTTCGGGACGAGCGACTCGAGCTTCTTCCCGATCTACACCTGGACCTTCTGGACCTTCTGGGGGATCGAGACGCAAGACGCCAGGTCCAGCGGAGCCGACTCGAGTCCCATGTGTGAACTGCTACCGTCACTGGTGGGAAGGCGAATGCGACGAAGGCGAGCCATGCTCAAACTGTGCTGCATCAGGAACAAAATGTGTGCGGCAGAAATGCATTAACTATGCTACCGGCACTTGCGACAAGGGCAACAGGTGTCCCAACGTACACGAAGGAGACGAGCGTTACCAGAACGAAGAGTTCCTTGTAGCCCAGACCAAAGCGGGCAAGCGACCTTCACGTTTGGGTACGAGGGCGGACGCGAAGCCGGCGCCGACCCAGGATTAGGATGCTTGGCCTATTTGATATATCTTGAGGGCTAAGATGCTTGTCCGCAACTCCGCATGGTTGTTGCATTCTGGCGGCATTGAAGGGAGTTGGTTATTTCTGTTTGGATCGAGTTTGCTATCCTTGGTATTTTCCCCTCCACCCTGGCTTGACAGCCCTATTGAGTTCCAGCCGCCCGAAAGGGCAGGCTCTCATAGGGCTGAACATAGCCGGGTTGGGGTGGATGTTCTGGCCTTGGATCGCTCACAGCGTTGTGTCTTCTTTATTGTTTTCTTGGTGCGACTCGTTACGGGTGCTCTCATAGGAGTTGGAGGTGGTTTGGAAACTGTACCATATACCAGATTTGTAGCATTATATTACCTCGATGATGCACTTTACCTTGTGCACTTCGAATGCTTTACCACCATTTGACATGCAGTCTCGCGTTGTGGTGGTAGAGAAAGTCTCCGAGACCGTCTCCTTTGAATTAACATCCTCATGGACTATAGTGTGAGAGTCATCTCTAGATTGTAATTGAGTCTGGCGGTAGCAGCTCGCAGTATCGACTGTAGCAATATCATGGCAAGCGTGCCAGATGTTGCGATGGTACACACTGAGGTTTGCGCGTCGCGCGCGGGGCTTCGAGATAATCGACTACGCCGGTGGCGGACTTGCGCTATTCCAGATATGATCTAGCTTATCAGAAATTCAGGGTTTTCAAGCTTCACCCCACATCATCGACGAACCAAGCTCGGCTTGGCTATAGCTTGCATGTCTTACTCGCGCCTCTTTCCACTCTTTCCAATCATCGGCACTTCTTTTCATGCGGAGTATCCATTGCGACCGCGATCCTTCCGACATTCCGCGCCGTTAGAGGCCTAGGCTCATGGTGCACCTTCACCCCATGCACTGCTAGGAGGTTATCTCCGACCATGACGAATCGCCAGGGTACGCTAAGCGACTACTTACCCGGCTGAAAAAGCTTTAAGTCGCGCAATGTTGGACTTTAAATCTTTTGCGTTCCTTTAGACGTTACGTCCATTTCATTTCACATCTATGGCTTCGAACGAGCCAGGCCTTGCGCCTCTCAGTGCGCCGGCTGAGGACCCCATCAAAGGAGCCGTCGGCGTACCCATCGATACAGACACCCCCGTCGCACCGGACCAGTTCGACGAACGTTACGAGACATCGAAGTGGGAGATCTGGTCGTATTACTGGTATGCAAACGACGCCAGCGCAGGGACTTATTTGAAGCGCAGTCCATCGACTGTGCTGAGGCTGACATCCTATTCTCAAACAGCTACTACGTCGGAGACAATGGCCTCACTCTTTTCAACTTCGGTCCGACGGCCTTCCAAAACCTCATGTATGAAGCTGCAGGAGACTCCGAGGTGCTATACTTTATGGGTCGCGATCGTACCATCAACTCCATTGTGCTTCTCTGCAACGGCATCAGTTTCGCCATCCAGGTCCTCGTTTTCTTGATCCTCGGTTCTTTCGCCGATTTTGGTACATGGCGCCCCAACATCCTTATAGGGCTGTCCGTCATTGCCTTCGGAATCGGCTTTGGCTGGTTAGGCGTTCATACCGAGGATAAATGGCACGCTGGTGTGGGTCTCTATATCGTCGGTCTTATCGCATACCAAACGACAATCACATTCTGGACTGCTGCCTTCCCTGGACTGGCAAGGAACACCAAGGAATTGCGAGTCAAGGCCGAGGAGTTCGCCGATGGAACGATTACCCGCGCAGAGTACGATTTTGCCGATATGATGAAGCGAAACGAGCTCTCCAACACGGCGTTCTATGTTCAATCCGTTTTCGAAATCCTCATCCTGGCTGTTATCGTAGGCATCATGTTCGGTCTGCATGTTAATGACAGCGCGGAGAATAACAACTGGGGTCTGTCGGTACTCATCGCGTTTGCGACCGGAGTTTGGATCTTATGCGCTCTTCCGTGGTTCATCCTCGAGAAAAGACGACCAGGTCAGGACCCAGGACGCGCGAACATAGTCCTAGCTGGTCTCAAACAGCTTGGATACGCGATGCGACAGATCTGGCAGTTGCGCCAAAGTCTGGCATATCTGGCGGGCTACTTTCTCCTAGGCGACAGTCTCAACACCACCGTAACGGTTATCGGGACTCTACAGAACGAGATTGTTGCGTACAACAGTCTGCAGCTTACCTACCTGCTTATTGTAGGTATCGCTGCCCAGGCGGTTGGCATCGGCGCCTTTTGGCGCATCCAGAAGTACTATGGTCTATCGACGAAGACTATGTTCATGGTCGTCGCCATATGCATCGTTCTGCTCGACGGCTGGGGCATGATCGGCATCTGGACGCAGCGCTTCGGTTTCCACAACAAGTGGGAGGTTTGGGTATACCAGGCCTTCTATGGATTGCTTGTCTGCCCGTGGTACAGCTATTCGCAGACCATGATCTCCGAGGTTACACCGAGAGGGAAAGAGTTTCTTTTCTTCAGTTTGTTCTCGATCGTGGGAAAGACGAGTGCTTTCATCGGCCCACTGGTCAGCTCTGCCATTATCGATGATACTGGCAACAACAGTAGTCCCTTCTATTTCTTGTTTGCGTTGAGCCTGGTTAGCTGCGCCTGGCTTTTCTTCTTTGTTGACGTTGAGAAGAGCAGGATTGAGCAGGAGACATTCCTGGAAAGGGAGAAGAACACTAAGTTGCACAATGAGGATGCTGAGAGTCTTACCTGATCATCTATTAGCAATTGAATTACCTCGTTCACGAAGAGAGTAGCTAGTTCCATCGCTTCTGATCCTGATGACGATACCTGGCCGCGCAATGTTTCTGTATATCCAGATTCAACTAAACAAGACATTCGCAAGTAAACGAACGGAAACACACTGCTTTATCATTGCGCATCGCTGTGTGCTCACATTATTGGTCAGGTGGGGCCTCGACTCGTGTTCACAATGCACGTGTCTCAAGCTCACAACTGCCTGAACCCCGGCCATATTTCTTGAAGTTCTAGCTGTTCCCATCTTATCACGTTCGTTCACCCAGTAATTCGACGATTCGGTCTTCCCAGCCATCGAAATCATCAAGACCAAGCACACCGCACAACATCTGAACAACTACAGACAAACAGCAATGACATTAACCTCGTGGCTAACAAGCTCCCCCGAGCAACCCACCGATACCACCGACCCCAACAGCTTCGCCTCTCTCGTCAACAAAATGAATCTCGCTGCCATAAAAGCTGACGCCGAAAACAGCTACAAAGAGAAATACCTACGACTCCGCAGGCAAGTCGAATCAAACACCGTCCACAACGACCTTCGCGCTAAGATCACATCTCTCTTAGCCAAAAAAACCGAATACGAGGCTAAGCTTCGAGACACCGAAAAGGCGAAAACGAGCGCAGACATGCAGGTCGTGGCCCTTGACCTTGTGATCAAAGACACAAACGTGTACTACAAGTCCAAGTTGGAGATCGCAGAAACGCAGAACAAGGCGCTCAAGGAGGAGAATAAGAGGCTGAGGAAAGATGGGCAGGATATGAAATCTTTGCTTCTCTTGCATGAGATCTGTGTACCAATACAAGGTTCTACGAATGAAGACACGCAGACTCTGGAATCAGAGTTTGATATGGAGCTATTGGAGGGTAGCGGTTTTGAAGACGATTGGCGGACTGAATCTAGTGATTCGGGTACGGACTCGACGGATGTCTGCCCTCAGTGGTATAACTATGGGAGGTGTAGTCGGGATGGCAGCGATGCTGCTGAGAAGTGTGAGCTTGGTGTGCATCCACGTCTTCTTGACTTTGGTACAATCTTGAAGGAGTAGAAGTGCATGTAGCAGTGTTTTGAGTAATTGAGATGGGCGAGGGTATGTAGAGTGTGGTTGGATGTGGCGGACACGACTTGTTTTCTGGAATGCGGACGCCTCTTTGTTGTCGTAGATATCTCGTACATCAGCATACAAACATCAATCCTCCCACTCCCCCAGCACCTCTCTAACCCTCTCCTCACTTGGAAACCGCACCTCCTTCTTCGCCACCATATCGATCAGCTCTTTCACCCGTCTCTGCTCTTCTTCCGTTATACTTTCTAACCGGCGATCGATATCCGCGCCAAACCTTCCCCAGAATTTTGCGAAACTCGCCGACTCATCCTGGAGATACTGCCCCTTGTTAATGACAAGAAAGTTTCTAAACGCGTCCCACCAGGTCATCGATTCCTTTGGCACAATCACATCTTCCAATGCGTTTGCCTCTTGTGATGACGCTCGGCCTGCATTGTCGAGCATGTATATGAGCTCGTAAGTATATGAGCGGTCGGCGCCTTTTGTCATGTTGTCAGGGTCTAGGGTGGCGCGGTCGAAATCGATCAAGACAACGGTCGGTAGTGTGAAGTTGGCTTCTTTGCTGGAGGCGGATACATCGAGCATTACGTTTCCGCCAAAGACGTCGTTGTGGGAGATATTGGCCGCGTCGTGAAGCCACCCGACCGCCTCCGTTAGCTGTTTTGCGACGTGTAGTATGAGTACCTCGGGTATCGCAGGGAGCGGAAAACGGCGAGGGAGATCAGTTTCTGACGAGGGCTGAATTATCGCGGTGACCACGACTCGAAGCCGCTCAAGATCGAAACCACAGACCGGACTGACGACCAGCCAGCCCGATCCACCGTCCTTGATCGGATCATAGTCGATGAGGGTGGAAAAGTGCTTCGCGACGCTGTTGTTTTTATCGATGGCGAGAGAACTGCGAACGCGTTCGAGAGCGACGATTTCATCGGCTATCCTATCGCGACACATCTCTCGACTGATCATCTTGACAGCGACAAGGGCTGCACTCTGCGCGACGGAGTCAGTCGTGGAAGAGCTTGCGGCTGACGGTGTTTGTACGCAGAACGTGATGCTTCCACACGTACCCTTGCCTACTTCGCGGATCGGGGTGTACAACTTGTTTGTCTCTTCATAGATCGATTTGGGGTTCATGTCGTCAGATGTTGCTGTTGAACTGTACGCCGCTCACTGTATGCGTCGATCGAAGGGTCGCTCCAGAGCAAAATCGCCATATAGTCTGGGTAACAAATGAGAATAAACGCCAAAGAGCAGGATCTATTGATAGTGAAAGGCGCGAATGCGATGCTGCGATAGGCAACAAGCAACGCTGGAGAACCCTTCACTACGTCTAGCTCTGTTCAGCGATATTGTCTTGAAAGGTCTGAGACTTCTCACCGTGTCCATGTGTCGTTGTTGGGATTTTACAAATATCCGTGGTCACCTCGAAACACCGAATAACAGGTAACAGAGCTGAGGAAGCTGCGCCAACAAAGGAGTGAATCAGTAGTAAGAAACGCAGTGAACTCTATAGATTTGAGGCATCAAATAGGTGCCCAAGGTGTCCTGGTGGGTTGTGTTGTACATTGTCGCATCTTCCACGACTGCCTCGTGATAATATACATTGTTGGCTTGCTTTTGGCAAGCAAAGTGAGCTTCCAACAAAGGTCCTATCCGAACAATTAAGTCAGACTACCGCTATCAACACCATTTGGCATTAATGGACGGGAAATGTGCCATGGTTCGTATCTGGCGGCATCGGTGCCTACTGGGGCTGAGTCCGGTCTCCTCCGGGAGCCTCCGGGATGTAGAGTATGCGCGAAGGAAGCGTTGCGTTCGCTTCGTCGCGATGAACATATAACTTTTGTCGCATTGACGTGTCCGCATCAAGGGTTCAAGGGATCGAATTCTGTGGTGTCCTTTCCCCAAATCTCGATGTGATTTACGTCTTCCCTTTTCACAACTGTTACTTTTCTTATTGGTCCTGCTCTTTTCGCGTTCAAGCTATTGTCATGGCTGCTCGGTGTCGAGTCCTTATTTGATGGGTAGTAAACGTCGCCTAGCTTGAGAACGATGCTGTCGCCGTAGCCAACGTACTTGACGTTCTTGTACTCCGGTCGCCAGAACTCTGTTCCAATCGCGAAGGCATGCATCTCAGCATCTTGGATTTGATACGGCGCCTCGCTTGTGTCAGAGCTTGGGCGGAATAGAAAACGGACGGCCCAAAGCTTGGGCACTAGAGCAAAGACCTGACGCAGAGACTCAAGCGGTGGCACTGAGCAAGCGAAGCCAACTTGCTCCAAATTAGAGCACGTTTGGCAAAGTCTGAACAGGGCATCGTCAGATAACACCCAGCGATCCGAGAGAAGGAGATGGCGAATGCTGTGGTTGTGATTGGTTTGAATGGCCGCAATAAACTCACTGCCGATGCTGCGACAGCGCTGGTCAGTCGTGTGTTTTGGAGTACTGTTCGCGCTAGAGACTCCGATGACACCCGGCGTCATCGTGGACGGTGTTGTTGGGGTTGCAGCAGCGCTGGTAGTTCTTGGTGAGTCTTTGCCTTGCCTATTGCTCACAATGTACAACCGCTCCATGCCCTTGAATTTACCTAGCATAACAGCGCTCTCTTTATCCGTATTATCGGTGCGCATCACCTTCAGGTTGTGAGGCGTCGGGTGATTACTGTGTATCCTCCAAGAGTCGTCGGCAAAAACGGTCATAGGGTCCGAGGAGCCCATGGCGTTGATCAGGGTGAGCTCTGTATTGGTGTCGGGGCGGATAACATGGTGGAAGCCATCGTCAGAGAAGCGGGTGTAGATGTTGTATAGTCCCAGGTGCTTGAGAGGTATAGAATACTTGGCAGACATGCAGCGTCCGAATAACGAGTGCAGCGAAACTGACTCTTCCCCTACAGCCCTCATGCGCGGACTCCAGTGTAATGTGAGGTGCTCGAGCTTTTTGGAGCCCAGCAGAAGCAGCGAGATATCGTCGGGGTAGCAGAGAGGATCGATATCGTACACGATTAGAGTGGTCAGGTTCGGAAGCGGAGGTATAATGGTGGTCGGCCGTGGTATTCGTTTGGTCTGACACCGAAGGGTGAGCGAGACAAGCGATGTCCTGGCTGTGATGCCCTGGTAAACGGTATACAAAGGAGGAGTGCTCAGCTCCCAACTGGGCATATCAGCAGTTGTCCAGTATGATTTTGGCACGACACGTACGCGAAAGCCTTGAGGGTCTTCATCTTGTCGATGGCGGCACGCATGACAACTTGCAGTATCATGCTGTTGTCCGGCACTCGGCCCTGCTTGTATTCCTCGGTATCATGTTCTCGCCAGTCGCCTTTGACCCGGAATGTCTGTATGTAGTCGCCAAAGTTGCGCGACACGAGCGTATTGAGGCCCATGGCAAACGGGCTGCCATTGCCGTAGCCTTCTGGCCTGCCATCTACGTATCGTATCTCGGCGTACGAGTGTAACGTGACCGTCTCGTAGAGCCGCGGAAGCGTCATGTAGTAGAACAGACGCGATGTGCGCGTGATGCGCGCGAGGTCACCGACATCGTCGAGCTTCCGTGCGTGTTAGTAGAGCTCGGTTGGGACAGCTCGTCGCGTGGCAGGGCGCAGACCAACGTACGTGTGTGAGGATGAGCTGGATCAGGTGCAAGGGCAACTCTTTCGCCTGCGCTAAGTTGCTGTGCGTCCGCGCGGGCGAAGTGAACCAGGTGTGCAGCGGCGCGGCCATGGCTCTATTGCTACCCTCTTGCAGCAACAAGGCATCGCCTGAGAGACGCGTGCGCTTTGGGTCCGACATGAGGCTAGATCAAGGGGACACATGCGTGATACAAACAAAAAAGGGTCCGTACTATCATGGCGGAACTCACAGCTTCATGGCGCATGCATATACGGTCATCATGGCTCATACGTCGTGCTGTCGAGGCGCGTCGGAACTTTTGCTAAGACGCCCGAATGCCCGCTTCGTCCACCAAGCGCGCCCGCATTGGTCCGGCTGCTCCGGGAAGACTCGGTTCACACCTGGACTGATGATCGACACCAGGCATCGTGTCCATTCACGTGCACTGCAATACGGCATATACGTTCTGCACCAGGACCATGTAAAGTCTTGCATTACTCTCTGTTTGGGTCCAAGTCATCGCTATGTGACTGAAGTATGCGTGGCCCCCCTGTGTGCGTGCAGCCAGAAAGGCTCATGGTGGGCGGAGACATCTCCGATCACGACATGCGCACCAAACAACTTAAATATCCAGCGGTTCCGCCCGGAAAACCAAGATTTCGGAGTCGCCGTTTGCACCGATGCAACTAAACTTCGCTCATGACCTGAAGAACCAGGGCTGTTTGCCCTTGTATTCGTCCGCAGGAACTCGAAAAGGGACCTCAATCGTTCCGTCAAACACGCTCATCGGTGGTACGTCATCCTGCTTGAGACCCTGAAGCTCTGACTCTGGTACAGGCATGACAACTCCACACTCCCAGTTCCTGTGATGTTTCATACCAAGTCAGTGTATGTCACATGCAAATCAAATGTGTCTTTTGCGTACCTGATGTTCAGACTCCCCATTTGTCCACTTTTCAATACCTTCTGGCCTCCCCACGCTGATTCGGAGATATTGGCAGAGCCGACGTAAACCCAGGCAAAGGGCTTTCCATTCTTCCCACGACCTCGCGCGAAGAGTAGTTTGTTGTGCGATAGCATACCCCGTCGCATCGAGTCGTAGTCTCGCATGCATTCTTTTGGAAACGTTGGTGCGTTGTAAGTCTGTCTAGTCAACGTAATGATGCCGGCGCCGTCAGGACCGCCCATGCTTTTTTCAACCGTGTCGTTGGTAGGGAAGTATATGCGAAAGCAATCGCGCACGTTGGGTTCCGTGGCAGTGTCTGTCCCGAAGGACTTGCCGCATGCTGCGAGGCGGATGCGCGACAAGAAGGCATCGTTGATGGAACCGAGGGAGGATGCTGCATAGTCAAGCTCGATACATGCGACGTCGTCTAAATGAAGCTCTCGTATAGCGTGCGCGAGGCCAGGGAGACCCGTAGGATGAACTGATTCAGTCTTGTGCGAACCACCACTAATTCGGATTAGCACTGACCCTCAAGAAATGTCATCAAGAACATACATGGAATGTACAAAGGCCAGATGACTCGTCTTCGAGAAGTCGCATCTCAACAGGCCGGTGATGACCTGTGGACCCACTTCCTGCTGCTCCAAGAAGTATACCAACTCGCGACCAAAAGGTGTCAAGTCTTTGGCCTCCGTGACAGTACCGTCATGTCTGCGAGGGAGGTCTATCAAGAACACCGAATTCTCCATGATACCGGGCTGCCAGTCGTTTGCGACCTCGCCCCAGTCGGTCTGTGTCATGTTCGCAGTTGGAACCGCAATGCGCAGCTTATCTTTTCCAAACAGCAGCATGAACTTGCTGTGCATGCTGGCTATCATGCCACCCATAGGCGGGAAATGAAGCTTCATGTTCGGTACGCGAGACTCCCTCCACTCTTGTATGCGCTTTGCTTGAACGTCCTCGCCTCTGTGCTTGCCAGTCATCAGCCAGATCTGCTTGACCTTTGTCGGATCAAGTTTTTCGTATAGCCATCCCGAATCGTACTGAAATGAGCTAATGACTGCGGTATTGACTTTATCGGCTTCTAGTAGTTCTTCAATAGTGATGTCGTCCGTTCGCGGGTACTTGGACGCAAAGGTGCGCTTGATCGCGCCATTGGGGTATTGTAATGGGGTTTCGCCTGAATCGCTTTTTGCGGCAGGCGCTCTTGCAACTTGCTTAGAAGGTGCCTCGGGAGATGCCTCCCGCTTCCTTTTGCCAAGTCTTGCGAGACGCTCCAATTCCATTGCTTTCCGATCCATACCCATGAAACCTGGAGGTTTGTCGGCGACGGCTGCCGTCTTGGTCGCACTCGTTGGCGATGAGCTCGGAGCCGATGACTGTTGCACGTCATTACTCGCGCTTTCCTGCATCGATAGGGCAATCGCACGCCTGAGATCGTCGTCATCTTCGTCCTCAGTGTCAGACGTGAGGTCGATTGACTCGTGCTTATCGCCCGATGCGCTGCTGTGTGCAGCCCGAGGAGAATTCGTCTGTAAGGACATTGCCATCGCAAGCTTGAGATCGTCATCATCAGAATCCATGTGTCCAAGAGTCAAGATGTGGTTGTTATGGGAATGTTGGTGATTGGGTGAACAAAGAGATTCGTTGAGGAGCGGAAGCGATCCGGCATGGCAGGACCCCCGGGGCCTGAACGCGCTGTCGCGAAAGCATGTGACCAAGGCTTGGCAACTATATGGATCATCACGGCTTTGAGCTCAGCCTGCTCTGTCGCACCAACGAAGATGTGCCTTGGTATATAGTGAACGACATATGGCTAGCACTTCTATTTCCTCACATATAGACTACTCATATCTTCTACAACAGTCTTTCACTTGGTTTTGCCGTCGACAGCCCCGCCCGCCCGCTGCACGTTGCGAAACACCACCAAGTATCCCAGATCAGCCAGTATCCATGTCACCATCATCACCACTGATATCGGATTGACATAGTAGCCATGTGCCTCTGGCCACACCCACCAGACATATCCGTAATTCACCGTCAACCCCGACACGCTGCCGATAAAGCGGCACGCCCAGATGCTGTACGAAGAGCCGCGACTGCTTCCTCTGACCACAAGCTGTGCCAATGACATGACGCTCAGCACGACCTGTGCGACCATAGCAGTCCAGAAACCGAGCTCGTCCTTGTCGATGCCCAGATTGCCGCGGTACGCTTTTCCAACTTTTGGGTTGACGGGGTGATCGACATCAAGCCACCAAGAGCTCACAGCGTACAACGCGATGCACCACCATACCAACATGCCAGCAAAGATCTTGCCGATATTCCTGCCAACTGCTGGCGCATGTCCCCATTCATTCGCGCCATACGTGACAGCCGCATAAACAATGCCCATGTCTAAGAGTCCCCATATGGCGAAGAGGGCCTTCTCCCGGAGCTCATCGGCAACGTATATCGCGAATACAATCTCCCACGCAAAGTCTAAATATGGGTGTACCGGGTCAGTATGTCTCATATGCAGCCCGTATAGATACACCTACTGAATGCGAGCGAGAAGAGGGGCATGGCGTATGTGCGGTCGCGAATGGACTGGCGTGCCATCAGGGCGTAGCAGATTGTGTACAAGACACCGCCGGTGCCCAGGAACACATCGTTCGCGTCGAAGATGGAGGGGTCGACGTGATCGGGCAAGATGTCAAGGCGGCCCATAATTGCGAATTGAAATCAAAGAAGAGATGAGGAGGCGCAACATACGCATTAGAAGGGAGTCTAACATATATCGTGAGGGGTGGGGCCCCTGTCATCACGAGCTTAAGTAGCGCTTATGGTTAGTTCGTAAGGGTGAGGTGTCATTCGGACCGCTTCCGGGCTCCCGCAAACTTGTATACGCCGGCCGTATATGTTTGTGCTTTCAGCTGCAATGCGATATTGTCACATGCAAGATGTTTGTGTGATTCGGTATATTGCAGTGTGGATTCCGACGCGGATACCATTTCGGCTTGGCGGTCTTTGACTATCCTCCGTGTAGCGTAGATACGAACATGATGTGATCGCCTCTCTGAACCTCATACTTGTCTTCGCCTTCCAGCTCCCAGTCTGCTTCGTTGATGAGGACCAGTATTCCAGGTCGTCTGAAGCTAATGTCAGCATGTCATTGTTCTCTTGGGGCAGGAACATACACCGTATCGTCAAGCACGAAAAGTTCTTTCCGCGGATCCTTCATGACCTTGTCGCAAAGGTATCTGACAAGGAATGCAACATTTGCTGGCTCTCCAGACTCATCTTTGGCTGGTAGGGCAAGATCATACTTTTTCTGGTTGGCGAACAGGATCTCCAAGCCCCCGCTGTAGAAGATTAGAGAGGAACATCGCCATTTCGCAGGACAACCGACCTACCTGAACTCTATCGTTATTGGGATCGTTTCATCGTTTGACATTTCGTCTCTGCTCGTCTGTAAGATGCTAGGGTTGTGAGAGATTCGGATGTTATCGAGATCGGTTGCGCCTGCTCTGCAGCCCTGAGCCAAATGCAGCTAAGCGAGGCTAGCGCCAAAGAAATCCTTACGGCGATGACTAGATGCGGTGCCTGCGCATACGCAACGCCTAGACCCAACAATGAACATATCCACTGAGTTCATCGCTGCAGGTGGCAATCGAAATCCCGCTGCCGCTGACTGGGATGAGGCCGGGTCGCAACTGCTAGCGTTCGGCGCAGACAACTGCATCGCACTCTGGGATCCTCAGGTAAGTCGCGGCTGGCCAATGACACAACCTTCACTCATCAAGATAGGACGAAAGTCTTCGTGGCGTGCAAGCAATTCTGAGTGGGCACACCAAAGCTGTGAACGCTGTCAAATTCTTTCCAACACAATTGTCCAATGTCTCAGTCCTGCTCAGTGGATCTGCGGACAACACCATCCGCATATGGCGAGGTCGAACAGGCGCATCTTTCGACTGTGTCAAGACGATTTCAGATCACACTCAGCCAGTCACCAGAATAGCAGTACTACCTGGCTCGGACACTTTGGCAACCGGATCTTCAGATGGCACTGTCAAAATCTGGAAGCTTGTTCATGAGGCAGACTTCGGGTCCGTCGATGTCGAGCTTGTACAGACCATCACACTATCACCAAAGTATTTCCCTCTGAATCTCGCACTTGTGACTCTGGACGACAAATCTACAGTGCTAGCAGTTGCGGGTACACGTAGCACCATTCAAGTCTTTGTATCGCACG